AAGACACTTTCCAGTGTCCCCATCATAGTTAGGACATTCATAACATTACACTGTAAATATTCATATTATTTAAGTAAATGACTACATGCCTTATTACACATAAATACCAGGGAAGTTGATTCCACAGGTATCCTTGATATTTACCAGTCTGTTTTAGGTGTGATCCTCATGTGGAGATAACTTTGTTGTCTATGGTTTGGTCAATGTTCTAGCAATGGGCACTGGCAAAGTGTTTGTTCCGGTTTTACTTACTGTAAGAGCTGAGTTTGATAATGAGATTTAATTGGTTTGGTTGTGAGAGTGAATGGAGCAACCTTCATGTTGGTAAATTCTTTTTTCTCTGAAAGTTCCCAAAAGGTAGTAGCAAATGTTTACTTTTCCATCCCAAGAACTTGTATACACATGTTCTTGCAGGGTTTCATTCTATCACCCCTCTTGTTCAATGTGCATGGACAGCCATTGAGAAGACAACAAAGCCCTGTGGTCTGCAAAGCTATCAATATGAAGACCGAGGGCTATCTTACTTTTTCATGAATGCAAGTGCTAGTGTCTCTGCTTAGAGAACAGAATTTTGTTCCCATGGGAAATTACAACATTTTGAAATTTGTTTTCCGTTTAATCAAAACAAAAAGTCAAAATAGAATAGAAATTCTGGAATAAATAATTAATTTGGAAACAATAAAATGTTTTGTTTCAATAATATTGAGACTTTTGTAAACAATGTCAAAACAGTATAATATAATATAAACTATTAAATGTAATATATAATATTAAAATAAGAGATCTATATAATAAGATTCCAGGATTGTTATTCTGGGTGTTACTCTGAAACCTAGAACGTCTGACTCATTGTGGAAGAATGGAAACAGCTACAAGTATGGCTGAGAGCTCTTTTTTTTAAAATACCACCAGGTTCAATCATCATGGGGATTCACGGTAAGTTACTGTCCAATTTTTAAGTTCCCAGTCATTTTCAGCTTTTTTATACTTTATGACTTACTCTTGAATTACACTCGGCTTCCATGTAGTATACAATAATGGGTTCCCCCAGTGTGCCACCTGGAACTGGGGTACCACTGAGCCCACCTGGGCTCTCTTTATACTGTACTGCTGTGACAGGCTCTAAAGCCTCCTCCAGCATACATACAGGTAGGGACACACCCAGCTGCAGCTACACAGAGATGCTGAGATCAGCTCTGCTCAGGAAGGCTTAGCTAAGGAACTACCCAGTTACTCAAGTGCACACACCACTTTGGAGGGTAAACCCAAAATTTAGAGGGTAAACCTAAAATATTTGATTTCAAGGTGTTCCTTATGCTCTACAAAGTCTTAAATGGATGGGAACCAGTCATTCAGAGATTGCTTTGCTTCCACTCCGTGTTCTGCATTTCTGGTTACAGTCTACTAAACCGATTTTGCAGTCAGGTTTTAAAATTCAGCTCTGGAGGAGCAGAGGCCGAGCTTTCTCTGTGGAGCACCCACACCTCTGGAATTCACTCTCTGTGGCAGTCCATCACCTCAGGCTTTGGCAGCTCCCAGAAGCAGGCAAGACTTTTTTTTTGTTTAGCCAGGTGTGCAATAAGCCAAGGAGACTGTCCTTGAAGTAGGAGGATATTTTAATTCTGATAAAATTTGTGTGTGTCAAGCCAAGCCAGCTGTTAACTGCACGTGGGAAAATATGCACCTGGAATTTCTGTGCACAGTGCCCGGACTGTGTGTTTGGAAATGCACTGATGGCACAATCAGGTGTATAACTGGCCATTTGCAATTACAGCTTCCACGCAGGGGCAATATGCATGTGCAAGTGTGACCATCCAATCCATACTATATTCAATAGCAATCCTAGTTTGAAATCTTGTCAGAGAAGGGGATTCTGCAGGAAGGGTAAAAGAAGATTGGACCCAGGAGACTAGCCTGGCTGTTGAAAGAAGAGGAAGATACTGCATGGGGCGAAAGGGGAAGAGAGACAGATCTCCTGATCTGAGGAAAGAGTGGAGTGGGGTGTAGCATGTAGTTGTGGGGAGGGTCCCTGGTCCTGTGGAGGTGGAGGGAAAGGGGATACACATGCGGGTGGTGGGGAAGGACCCCGGTCCGGTGGTGGTGGTAGAGGGAGGGGGATATATATGGGCGTGGTGGGGAGGGTCCCTGGTCCTGTGGTGGTGGAGGGAGAGGGGATACACATGCGGGTGGTGGGGAAGGACCCCGGTCCGGTGGTGGTGGTAGAGGGAGGGGGATATATATGGGGGTGGTGGGGAAGGTCCCTGGTCCTGTGGTGGTGGAGGGAGAGGGGATACACATGGGGGTGGTGGGGAGGGTCCCTGGTCCTGTGGTGGTGGAGGGAGAGGGGATACACATGGGGGTGGTGGGGAAGGTCCCTGGTCCGGTGGTGGTGGAGGGAGGGGGATGCTGCCTGGGGCTCGAAGGAGCAGGGAGGCTGGAGGTGGGCTAGACCCCAAATACTAGGACCCCCTGGACTTCTCGGAGCATCCTCTCCCTGCCCGAACTACGAGTCCCAGCGTGCTCAGCACTCGGCGCTGGGATTGAGGTTGCGCAGCCGCCGAGCTGGGGAGTGACCTGCCTGTTGACAGCGCTGTTTTGGGGAGGGCTGGCTCCGCGGCTCGGGCAGACGGACTGACGGCTGGCTGCACACCCGGTGACAGGCAGGCAGAGACCTTGCAGAGGGGTAAGCCCGCGATCCCTTGCCCAGTGCCGCGGGCACGCTGCCTCCCCCTCCCGGGCAGGGATGCATCTCCGCCAGCCTCCCGCAGAGACACACAGGCACCGGTGCGGTCCATCTCCGCGCGCTCTGCCCGGCGGAGCCTCTGCCCTTTCCGCATCCCCGGAGAAGCAGTGCCCCGGCTGCCGCGCGGCGTAGGAGGGGTCTTGCAGCGCCCTGAGCTGCACGCAGCCAGCTGGGTGGTGCTGCCTCTTAGGATGCTCTAGTTGAGCACCAGCTGCGGCTGGAGGAGACTGCATGGGTGTGATTGCCACCGACCGGCTCGGCTGATTGCATTGCGGGAGAGAGAGGGAGAGGGAGAGGGAGAGTGCTGTGTGTGTGTGAGAGAGAGATGTTCGGCAGGGATGAAAAGGGAGCGGTGGTCGGATTGTACAATTAAAAGGACCTTGCAGGGACTCCTACCTTAGTGTAATTGCCGCCCTGCATCGTGGAGTGGTGTCAAACCCTTTTCAGACATTCCTTCTGCCTGGAGCAGAGCTACAATCCCGCCTGCATGTGCTGAAAGCAACATGCTTAGTTCCCTGGTGTGTTAATGGTGGAGCGGTCGGTTTGGTACAATGAACATTGCAATGTCTTGTTTTTAAACTCCATCCCCAATCCCCTGCAAATACACTTTCACAATATAATGTAATGCTTTCAAATTAGAGTGACTGATTTAAAGTGTTGATTTAAAAAAAATTAAAGTTCAAATCAGTCTGCGGAATGTCTGTCCTTTAAAAATATAGGCAGAATAAGTAATAATTTATTTTTAAAGGGTAATTTTAAAAATAAAAATATATTTAAATTTCCTCCCTGCATGTATCCCAGGTACTAAGTGCATTACAAAACTTAGAGCAAACAATGTTAAAATATGAAAACATGGTGAAGTTTTTTTAAATAAGTGAGAATATATCTGCCTTTCCTTGATGCTCATATTCCTTTTATACATAAAATCAGACTGATATACTGTCTTTAGATCTGGTCTCTTGGCTTTGAACAATTAAGAATATGTGATTTAAGGACAGGACTCAGTAATGTGATATTAGTTTAATGATATTTCTAAGTGTTTGATGAAGGAATGTTTTCCTCTGCCTTGGACTATTCTCATCATTATCTGTGACTCTCCTGTATTTCTGCTATCTCCTTTTTGAGATATGATGACCAGGAAAATGAACAAGTGATTGAGGTTGGAGTGTACCACTAATTTAGATAATGGCATTATAATATTTTCAATATTATTCTCCACCTATTTGCATCCTAACAGGCATTTGCTTTTTTGATTGCTGCTGCACATTGACTAGAGGTCTCCATTGGTTTGTTCACAGTGAGGCTCAGGTCTTTTTCTGAATTGTTACAGTTAATTAAGGAGCCAGTAAGGTATGTGCGAGTAGTTCAAATAATTCCTTTCACTGTGAATGACGTGCTTTTGCCAACATTAATTGCATCTGCTATCATGATGTCCATTCACCTAACTTGGCCAGGTCCCTCCCCAGAGTCCTCTGAAAATGCTGCCACCTATTTGCTCAATTCCTTTTCCAGAACATCATTTTTCATTTTCAACATTTTACAGTTCTCAGCAGGCAAACTCTGTGGACCTTTGCTTACTTACCTTTGCAAGTTGTTTGCAGAAATTGTAAACAAGTATGGAGTAAGATTTATTTTCACCTGGTTCCATGTTTCTCTGTGTCTGGTGATCCTCCTGACTTGAGGCTGAGGTGGCTTGGCAGGGTCTTGGGCTGAATGGCATCAGGTAGCTACCCTCATCAAATACAATTGCATATGCTGGGGCTGTGATGGAGGTTAACTGGTACTCTTCATCCAGTACACACAGCATGCCTCCGCCTGTGAAGCAATGTGATCATAGGTTCTGTTTAATGTGGAGTTTGATCTACATTAGTTTGTAAAAGACAAATTATACTGGGATATTTGTTCATCCATCTTTACTATAATTATCTCAGGCGGCAGCTGGATCCAGAGGTCTGACAATCATAATTATAAGGCAGGGGAATCTGGGGATGGGCACGGGCAAACAAGCAGCACTCTTTAGATAGCTATGGTCAGTGAGAATAGAACAATAATTATAATATCATGATACATTTTTCATATTAACGTTACTGACATGGACAAAAATCAATAGTCTTGTCTGTTCCAGGACCTGCCATCTCTGTTATAAAATTTAAAAGTACTCTGTATATTTCAATGCAGAGCTCCTCATGCTATTTATTGCTGTAGTTATCAAGTTGTACACATCACAGATGGTTTCTATTCACTGGTTAGCAGCTAAAATGCACAAAACCACATACAGTAACTTCTTGCTTAATGTGGTAGTTATGTTCCTGAAAAATGAAACTTTAAGCGAAATGATGTTAAGCGAATCCAATTTCCCCATAAGAATTAACGTAAATAGGGGGGATTAGGTTCCAGAGAAATGTTTTTTTCCAGACAATACATATACACACTTATACACAGTATAAATTTTAAACAAACAATTTAATACTGTACACAGCAATGATGATTGTGAAGCTTGGTTGAGATGGTGGAGTCAGAGGGTGGGATATTTCTCAGGGGATGCCTTACTGCTAAATTATGATCCAGCACTCGGCTGAGCCCTCAAGGGTTAACACATTGTTATTAATGTAGCCTCACACTCTACAAGGCAGCATGAATGGAGGAGGAGACACAGCATGGCAGAAAGAGAGAGTGTGTGTGTGAGAGAGAGAGAGAGAGACACACACACATGCATTTCCCCTTTAAGTACGCTGACCCCACTCTAAGTACGCTGCCTTTTTAACTAGATCAGCAAGTTGAGACAGCAGCTGTTGCCCGGAAGCTCCCTCCTTTCTGAGCACTGTGGTGTGGTGTAGTGAGCCCCGAGCCCCCTCTCTGTGGAGATAAGGTACAGGAGCTGGGGAGAGGGAGGGGGGGAAGGTGTGGGACGCCCTGACTTTAGCACCCCTCGTCCCCTCCCCCTCGCACATCAAGCAGGAGGCTCCTGGGAGCAGCTCCAAGGCAGAGGGCAGGAGTAGCACATGGCAGGGGGGAGGGGCAGCTGAACTACCCAGCAATTGATAGCTTGCTGCCTGGCTGCGCAGAAGGAACTTAGGGGAGCTGATGTGGGGCTGCCGGCCCACCCTAGTTCCAAACTAGCTCCAGTGGCTGCACTTCTTGCAAGCAGTGGAAAAAGAAGGCAGCTGCCAAACAACGTTATAAGGGAGCATTGCGCAACTTTAAACGAGCCTGTTCCCTAATTGATCAGCAATGTAACAACGAAACAAAATGTTAACCGTTAACTGAGGAGTTACTGTAATGAGAAGTGAGCTATAGCTCACGAAAGCTTATGCTCAAATAAATTTATTAGTCTCCAAGGTGCCACAAGTACTCCTTTTCTTTTTGTGGATACAGACTCACACGGCTGCTACTCTGAAACCTGTAATGAGAAAGGAAAGCACAGGGGAGACACAATAACTTTTTTTTTTTTTAAGGAGTGATCTGATAATTACCTTTATCGATGATCACTTTTCTGCTGACAACAATGTATAGTTATAGCCCAGCCTTTAGTTCAGGATCTGTTCACCTTCTCAGCTTGAGAAACATCTTGCTGAATGAGTAGGTCCATTGAAATTACTGAGGCTACTCAAGGAACAAGGTACTACTCAATGAGAGGAAGGGTAATCCAATGGGTAGGGTGTTCTCCTCGGACTTGGAAGACCTGTTCCCTGCTCTGCCACAAACTGCCTGTGTGACTGCAAAAGAGAGATTATAGCACTTCTCTACATCAAAATTGCAAGAATAAATACACTGAAGAATGTGAGGTGCTATTTAAGTGCTATGGTAATCAGGACCATATAAGTGTGATAGATAGATAGATAAGAGGAGCAGAATCTGGCTCTGAATTTTTTGACAATTCTTGTTTAAAAAGCTGTTAATATCTATTGTCCATGTTAGCCTTGCATTTCAGGTAAGTGTGATCACATATAATTCTTTTTACAACACAGTTGGAATTTGGAAGATAGATAACTGGACACCAGAGCTTTTCTTCTATGGATCACAGGTACTTCAGTGATGAGTGTGGTATAAGAAACTGTATAGAATAGACTAGAATAGTTCAAATCTAGTGCGGACTGGCACTGAATGACTGAAAGGTCTTAGCATCTTATAGCTGGCATTACCATGTTTGGTGGCCCATGTGAAGCAAGGGATGGCTTTAGTCCAGTTGCTATGGAACAGGCATTCACATCATAAAAGCCGCCATCACAGGTGACACTCTGAGTCGTTCCTCAGGGCTGTGCATGATCAAGCTTGATGAAATTAGTGACAGTGGCTCCAGGACTCATGTTTTTGTGTTTTAGTCTGTTCTGATTTCTCTGTGGTATTTCTAAGAGCCAGGCTGTACGTAACAAGGTAGGTGGGGTAGAGAGAGACAGTTGCAGGGGCTGTACAGTGGCAGCCCGGCCTTGCTGTCTTGCATCTGCCGACACAACATTCCATCGTCCCCCTCCCCCCTTTATGGGACGGGGTAAGAACACGGGGGGGGGGGGGGGGGGAAGGCAGCCTGCCCAAAGCAAGTTAATAGTGTTCCAGCGCTTCCTTCACTCTAGCAAGCAGGAGCAGCAGCGTAGGGATGCACAGAACCTGGCCCTGCTTCCATGAAAGTCTGTGAAAAGCATGGGAGCTTTGCCATTCCCTTCAATGCCCTCTGCACGTCTCTGCCCCTGCCTGCACACAGCAGGGAGGGACGCAGCCCTGCAGCAAACATTATTTTTCTGCTCTTTACAACAGTCACAGCTACATTGGCTGCAGTGCTGCCCCGGTGTTGTGTGCATGTTTACTATGGGAGGTACAGCAGGGCTGGTTTTTCCAGGTCACCCTGGAAGCCAGGCCTTTGCTCCTCCAGCAGGGTTCCTGTGAAAGTAGGAACCTGCAAGTGAAACTGACTCCATAACTAGTCCTAGCCTAAACCCACAGAGCTTTCAGTAGGGGAGCAGATTACCATGAAGAATGACATGGGTTTTCCAAATTCTTTCCCTTTCAATAGTTGATTGATGCTGCATGATCCCAACCACTCCAGGCTGAAGGGAGTGAAGAGTAGCACGTGCATGCGCCGTCCGGAGAAGGGTGTGGTGCTCTCCAGCAGGCCGGGATAGCGTGGGTTCATCATCACCTTCAGTTTCTGCAGGGAAGTGTTTGCAGCCACTGTCGTGAGTCTGTTGTGTCTCCTCCCTCCTGCGTCCATCTGTGCTGCCTTGTAGAGCTTGAGGCTACATTGACAACACTGTGTTAACTCTTGAGGGTTCAGCCCAGTGCTAGTTCATCATTTAGCAGCAAGGGATTCCCTGGGAAATATCCCACCTGATCTCAACACGTTGCTTTAGGAGACGTTCATAAGCAGATCTGCAGAGAATCCTCTGATGAGTAACTGCAGGGAGATTTGGGGAAAGGGGAGCTGCTGCTAACGTGTGTGAGCAAGAAACTGAAGGGACTCAAGAAGCTGACATAGGACATTGTTCCAGTGACCCTGTGCAAGTCTGTTTTAAATGTAATGGTGGAGGGCTCGTTGTAATTGTACTGTAGAGTATCACCCAGCATCATGAGTCAAAAACGCCGAGCAAGTCATAGTGGAGTACCTAGTGGTAGCAGTACTACTAGCAGTAAGAAAACCAGGAAAACCATTAGTTTGGGTACTAAATTAGACGTTTTAAGGCATTTTGATGCAGGTGAGCGTGCGGTAGACATTGGCATCACTCTAGGTCTTACTCCGACCACTGTGAGAACAATTCGGAGTAATGCCGACAAGATCAGGGCTAGTGCTCGGTGTGTAACACCGCTTAGTGCTACTAAAATAAGTCGATCAAGAAGTAGTTTGATGGAAAACATGGAGCGTCTTCTCTCAGTGTGGATAGAGGACCAAAACCAGCGGAACATACCTCTAAGTTTGCCTGTGATACAAGCTAAGGCAAAAAGTTTGTATGACAAATTAAAGAGAGACCAAGGTGAAGGATCACAGACAGAGATGTTCATGGCAAGTCGGGGATGGTTTGATCGGTTCAAGAAGCGCTTCCACCTGCACAACATGAAGATGTCCAGTGAGGTGGCTAGTGCCGATCCTGCAGCAGCTAAAAAATTCCCCCGACTATCTCAAGAAAATAATTGAGGAATGTGGCTATTCACCAAAGCAAGTCTTCAATGTCAATGAAACGAGCCTCTACTGGAAAAAGATGCCTGAACGGACTTACATTTCCCGAGAGGAGAAGACAGCGCCTGGATTTAAAGCAGCGAAAGACCGCCTAACTTTGCTTTTAGGTGGTAATGCTGCCGGAGACATGAAGATGAAACCGCTGACTGTATACCAATTCGAAACACCACGAGCTCTCAAGGGACTTTCAAAGGAACACCTTCCGGTCATTTGGAGATCCAATAAGAAGGCATGGATAACTGGAGCTATTTTTTCAGAATGGCTGACTCTTTATGCCATCCCTGCATGGAAGGAATATTGTGCCAAGGAAAATCTTGATTTCAAGATTTTATTACTTATTGATAACGCACCAGCTCATCCAGTCAACCTGGACTACCTGTGCGAAAACGTCAAAGTTGTCTTTCTGCCACCGAACACCACATCACTCATCCAACCCATGGACCAAGGAGCCATTGCTGCCTTTAAGGCATATTACTTACGCCGTACTTTCGACCAGCTCATCAGAGGCACTGATGGAGAAGGCAAGCCTACAATTCGGCAATTTTGGCGTGACTACAACATCCTCAAGTGCATCAATAACATCGGTGAGTCCTGGGCTGAAGTTACTCAGGCATGCATGAACGGTGTGTGGTGGAAGTTGTGGCCTGAATGTGTCAATGATTTAAAAGGATTTAAAGATGTTGTTCCCGCTATGAAGAAAGATATTCTCGGCTTGGCCAAGAAAGCGGGTTTTGATGAGGTGGAAGAAGCCGACGTTACACAGCTTCTGCAGTCACACAGAGAAGAGCTAACCAATGAAGATCTGATGCAACTAGACATGATGAGAGCAGTGGAAGACGAGGGCCAAGAAGTAAAAGAAGAACCAACCCATCGAAATTTGACTGCCAAACGGCTTTCTGAAGCTTTCCAAATGATTGAAGCTGGCTTGCAAATCCTTAGTGATGACGATCCTGACAGGGAACGCAGCTCCAAAGTTATTAGGGGAGTTGGTCATCTAATGACTTGCTATAAAGAAATTTACCAAGAAAAAAAAGGAAAGCAAAACAACCATCTCTAGATATGTTTTTTCGAGTTGTGACGGTTAAGGAAGAACAGCAAGAGGAGCAGCCGGACGATCCACGCTCTTCCACCTCTGACTTCACCACCTCAACCAAGCTTAACAATCATCATTGCTGAGTACAGTATTAAATTGTTTGTTTAAAACTTATACCTGCATTAAATTGTTTGTTTAAATTTTTTTAAAACTTATACGGTATATGTATATAATGTCTTTTGTCTGGCAAAAAAATTTCCCTGGAACATAATTACATTAATTTTTATGGGGAAAATGGATTTGCTTAACATCATTTTGCTTAACGTCGCATTTTTCAAGAACATAACTCCAACGTTAAGCAAGGAGTTACTGTATAATCATATGATTACCATGCCCTGCTAAATACAACATTAAATATTATGGAATACATGATGCAGCTCTTCTCTGTTTTACATTTTCTTAATCAGTATGTCTAAGCTGATTTTATATTTTAAATGTACTCTTAAGCCTTCATAAAGTAATCATTCCAGATTACTACGTATTTAACTCACTAAAACAAAGACATTATTTTAAATTAATCAGTCACAGAGGTTTATTGTGTTCATAACAATATTCATTGCTTTTAGAAAAAGGGAACACTAATTTACTTTGTGTGATCTCCATAACAATAAATAGACATGTTTATGAAGTTTCACCAACTTTAAAAAATATATTTCCAAAGATTTTAGGCATAACAAAGGATTTTATATCTTACAAAGGTATCGATTTTGCTAGAAGGTTCTCTTAAAACTACTGCATCAAATAGTCAGAAGTAAAGAAAGGGAAACTTATTTGTCCAGATATCTGGAAGGAAAGGGGTGTTGTCCCTTTAAGGGCTCTCTTCAACAGGGGGGTGAAGGGAGAAAGGGATGGACAGAAAGGACAGGAAGATTTTGGAAGCAAGTTTTTTGAACTATAGTAATTAAAATTAAAATATGTCTTTTAGATAAGGGTGGTCTTTTGAAGGATTTATTTTAAAAACTATATGTCTGAAGATCCAAGCATTTAAGACTAAAGATGAATACTCAGATTGTGCATCTAAAAATCTATGCAAGGATTTTTTAGAGATGTGATTTTATAATCTTCAGCAATCTTCTAATGAAAAAAAGCAAATTTTAAACTAAGGTCCTGTACACGAACATGTGCTGAGTAAATATTACAATAATGCGCAACGGTTTTTGTTAGTAAATTCAGAAACCGACAGTATATATCTAGGGGTTGGCAAATGCCTGTTAAATGGCTTCATTACTTGAATGATTCTTTAACTTGAATGGCTCTTTAACAGTTTCAGTGCTGTGCTAATACAGGGGTGGGCAAACTTTTTGGGCAAACCAGAGGGCCACATCTGGGTATGGAAATTGTATGGCGGGCCATGAATGCTCATGCAATTGAGGGTTGGAGTGTGGGAGGGGGTGAGGGCTCTGGCTGGGGGTGTGGGCTCTGGGGTGGGGCCAGAAATGAGGAGTTCAGAGTGGGGCAGAGGATTGGGGTGCAGGGGTTGAGGGCTCCAGCTGAGGGTATGGGCTTTAGGGTGGGACGGGGGATGAGGGGTTGGGGGTACAGGAGGGTGCTCCGGGCTGGGACCAAGGGGTTCAGAGGGTGGGAGGGGGATGAGGGGTGCAGGCTCCAGGCAGCGCTTACTTCAAGCAGCTCCCAGAAGCAGTGGTGTGTCCCCCCTCCAGCTCCAATGCAGAGGGGCAGCCAGGCGGCATGGTGTGCTGCCCCGTCCGCAGGTGCCACCCCTGCAGCTCCCATTGGCCATGGTTCCTCTATGCATAGGAGCTGGAGAGGGGACATGCCGCTGCTTCCGGGAGCCGTTCAGAGCCACAGCACGAGCGGAATGGGGCAAGCCCCTGGCTGGAGCACTGGAGCGGGGCAAGCCCCAGACCCCACTCCCTGGTGGAAGCTCAAGGGTCAGATTAAAATATCTGAAGGGCCGGATGTGGCCTGTGCGCCGTAGTTTGCCCACCCCTGTGCTAATAGGTCTGGCAGGCTGGAAGGTTTTTTCACTTTTAAATTACTAGATTCCCTCTGGAGGAAGACTCACCAGGCTGCAGCAGCTAGCTGTGAGAAGCCTGAAGGAAGGGTCAGAACAGGGATAGGAAGATGTGGGAGGGTGGACATTAAGACCCAGGGGTGCACCAAATTTTCGGGTGCCCTACCCAGCTGCCTCTGCTGCGTATGTCTAAGGATGGCCCTGTGTGTGTGCACGCCTGCGTGTCTGTGTGTGAGAGACACACACCATGTGTGTGTCAGAGAGAGAGAGACGCGCATTTCCTCTTTAACTACGCTGACCCCACTCTAAGTACACTGCCTTTTTAATTAGCTCAGCAAGTTTGAGACAGCAGCTGCTGCCGGGAAGCTCCCTCCTTTCTGAGCCCTGTGGTGTGGTGTGGTGAGCCCTGAGCGCCCCTCTCTGTGGAGATAAGGTACAGGAGCGGGGGGAGGGGGACACCCTGACATTAGCACCCTCTTTCCCGCCCCCTGCACAGCAAGCAGGAGGCTCCCGGGAGCAGCTCCAAGGCAGAGGGCAAGAGCAGCAAACGGCAGTGGGGGGAGGGGCAGCTGAACTGCCCGGCATTGATAGCCTGCTGGGCGGCTGCGCAGAGGGAACTTAGGGGAGCCGATGGGGGGCTGCCGGCCCACCCTGGTTCCAAGCTCCCCCACTAGCTCCAGCGGCTGCTCTTCCTGCAAGCAGTGGAAAAAGAAGGCAGCTGCCAAACAACGTTATAAGGGAGCATTGTGCAACTTTAAATGAGCCTGTTCCCTAATTGATCAGCAACATAACAACGAAACAAAATGTTAACTGTTAAGTGAGGAGTTACTGTAATGAGAAAGGAAAACACAGGGGAGACACAATAACTTTTTTTTTTTTAGAAGTGATCTGATAATTATCATTATCGACGATCACTTTTCTGCTGACAACAATGTATAGTTATAGCCCAGCTTTTAGTTCAGGATCTGTTCACCTTCTCAGATTGAGAAACATCTTGCTGAATGAGTAGGTCCATTGAAATTACTGAGGCTACTCAAGGAACAAGGTACTATTCAATGAGAGGAAGGGTAATCCAATGGGTAGGGTGTTCTCCTCGGACTTGGAAGACCTGTTCCCTGCTCTGCCACAAACTGCCTGTGTGACTGCAAAAGAGAGATTATAGCACTTCTCTACATCACAATTGCAAGAATAAATACACTGAAGAATGTGAGGTGCTATTTAAGTGCTATGGTAATCAGGACCATATAAGTGTGGTAGATAGATAGATAAGAGGAGCAGAATCTGGCTCTGAATTCTTTGACAATTCTTGTTTAAAAAGCTGTTAATATCTATTGTCCATGTTAGCCTTGCATTTCAGGTAAGTGTGATCACATATAATTCTTTTTACAACACAGTTGGAATTTGGAAGATAGATAACTGGACACCAGAGCTTTTCTTCTATGGATCACAGGTACTTCAGTGATGAGTGTGGTATAAGAAACTGTATAGAATAGACTAGAATAGTTCAAATCTAGTGCGGACTGGCACTGAATGACTGAAAGGTCTTAGCATCTTATAGCTGGCATTACCATGTTTGGTGGCCCATGTGAAGCAAGGGATGGCTTTAGTCCAGTTGCTATGGAACAGGCATTCACATCATAAAAGCCGCCATCACAGGTGACACTCTGAGTCGTTCCTCAGGGCTGTGCATGATCAAGCTTGATGAAATTAGTGACAGTGGCTCCAGGACTCATGTTTTTGTGTTTTAGTCTGTTCTGATTTCTCTGTGGTATTTCTAAGAGCCAGGCTGTACGTAACAAGGTAGGTGGGGTAGAGAGAGACAGTTGCAGGGGCTGTACAGTGGCAGCCCGGCCTTGCTGTCTTGCATCTGCCGACACAACATTCCATCGTCCCCCTCCCCCCTTTATGGGACGGGGTAAGAACACGGGGGGGGGGGGGGAAGGCAGCCTGCCCAAAGCAAGTTAATAGTGTTCCAGCGCTTCCTTCACTCTAGCAAGCAGGAGCAGCAGCGTAGGGATGCACAGAACCTGGCCCTGCTTCCATGAAAGTCTGTGAAAAGCATGGGAGCTTTGCCATTCCCTTCAATGCCCTCTGCACGTCTCTGCCCCTGCCTGCACACAGCAGGGAGGGACGCAGCCCTGCAGCAAACATTATTTTTCTGCTCTTTACAACAGTCACAGCTACATTGGCTGCAGTGCTGCCCCGGTGTTGTGTGCATGTTTACTATGGGAGGTACAGCAGGGCTGGTTTTTCCAGGTCACCCTGGAAGCCAGGCCTTTGCTCCTCCAGCAGGGTTCCTGTGAAAGTAGGAACCTGCAAGTGAAACTGACTCCATAACTAGTCCTAGCCTAAACCCACAGAGCTTTCAGTAGGGGAGCAGATTACCATGAAGAATGACATGGGTTTTCCAAATTCTTTCCCTTTCAATAGTTGATTGATGCTGCATGATCCCAACCACTCCAGGCTGAAGGGAGTGAAGAGTAGCACGTGCATGCGCCGTCCGGAGAAGGGTGTGGTGCTCTCCAGCAGGCCGGGATAGCGTGGGTTCATCATCACCTTCAGTTTCTGCAGGGAAGTGTTTGCAGCCACTGTCGTGAGTCTGTTGTGTCTCCTCCCTCCTGCGTCCATCTGTGCTGCCTTGTAGAGCTTGAGGCTACATTGACAACACTGTGTTAACTCTTGAGGGTTCAGCCCAGTGCTAGTTCATCATTTAGCAGCAAGGGATTCCCTGGGAAATATCCCACCTGATCTCAACACGTTGCTTTAGGAGACGTTCATAAGCAGATCTGCAGAGAATCCTCTGATGAGTAACTGCAGGGAGATTTGGGGAAAGGGGAGCTGCTGCTAACGTGTGTGAGCAAGAAACTGAAGGGACTCAAGAAGCTGACATAGGACATTGTTCCAGTGACCCTGTGCAAGTCTGTTTTAAATGTAATGGTGGAGGGCTCGTTGTAATTGTACTGTAGAGTATCACCCAGCATCATGAGTCAAAAACGCCGAGCAAGTCATAGTGGAGTACCTAGTGGTAGCAGTACTACTAGCAGTAAGAAAACCAGGAAAACCATTAGTTTGGGTACTAAATTAGACGTTTTAAGGCATTTTGATGCAGGTGAGCGTGCGGTAGACATTGGCATCACTCTAGGTCTTACTCCGACCACTGTGAGAACAATTCGGAGTAATGCCGACAAGATCAGGGCTAGTGCTCGGTGTGTAACACCGCTTAGTGCTACTAAAATAAGTCGATCAAGAAGTAGTTTGATGGAAAACATGGAGCGTCTTCTCTCAGTGTGGATAGAGGACCAAAACCAGCGGAACATACCTCTAAGTTTGCCTGTGATACAAGCTAAGGCAAAAAGTTTGTATGACAAATTAAAGAGAGACCAAGGTGAAGGATCACAGACAGAGATGTTCATGGCAAGTCGGGGATGGTTTGATCGGTTCAAGAAGCGCTTCCACCTGCACAACATGAAGATGTCCAGTGAGGTGGCTAGTGCCGATCCTGCAGCAGCTAAAAAATTCCCCGACTATCTCAAGAAAATAATTGAGGAATGTGGCTATTCACCAAAGCAAGTCTTCAATGTCAATGAAACGAGCCTCTACTGGAAAAAGATGCCTGAACGGACTTACATTTCCCGAGAGGAGAAGACAGCGCCTGGATTTAAAGCAGCGAAAGACCGCCTAACTTTGCTTTTAGGTGGTAATGCTGCCGGAGACATGAAGATGAAACCGCTGACTGTATACCAATTCGAAACACCACGAGCTCTCAAGGGACTTTCAAAGGAACACCTTCCGGTCATTTGGAGATCCAATAAGAAGGCATGGATAACTGGAGCTATTTTTTCAGAATGGCTGACTCTTTATGCCATCCCTGCATGGAAGGAATATTGTGCCAAGGAAAATCTTGATTTCAAGATTTTATTACTTATTGATAACGCACCAGCTCATCCAGTCAACCTGGACTACCTGTGCGAAAACGTCAAAGTTGTCTTTCTGCCACCGAACACCACATCACTCATCCAACCCATGGACCAAGGAGCCATTGCTGCCTTTAAGGCATATTACTTACGCCGTACTTTCGACCAGCTCATCAGAGGCACTGATGGAGAAGGCAAGCCTACACTTCGGCAATTTTGGCGTGACTACAACATCCTCAAGTGCATCAATAACATCGGTGAGTCCTGGGCTGAAGTTACTCAGGCATGCATGAACGGTGTGTGGTGGAAGTTGTGGCCTGAATGTGTCAATGATTTAAAAGGATTTAAAGATGTTGTTCCCGCTATGAAGAAAGATATTCTCGGCTTGGCCAAGAAAGCGGGTTTTGATGAGGTGGAAGAAGCCGACGTTACACAGCTTCTGCAGTCACACAGAGAAGAGCTAACCAATGAAGATCTGATGCAACTAGACATGATGAGAGCAGTGGAAGACGAGGGCCAAGAAGTAAAAGAAGAACCAACCCATCGAAATTTGACTGCCAAACGGCTTTCTGAAGCTTTCCAAATGATTGAAGCTGGCTTGCAAATCCTTAGTGATGACGATCCTGACAGGGAACGCAGCTCCAAAGTTATTAGGGGAGTTGGTCATCTAATGACTTGCTATAAAGAAATTTACCAAGAAAAAAAAAGGAAAGCAAAACAACCATCTCTAGATATGTTTTTTCGAGTTGTGACGGTTAAGGAAGAACAGCAAGAGGAGCAGCCGGACGATCCACGCTCTTCCACCTCTGACTTCACCACCTCAACCAAGCTTAACAATCATCATTGCTGAGTACAGTATTAAATTGTTTGTTTAAAACTTATACCTGCATTAAATTGTTTGTTTAAATTTTTTTAAAACTTATACGGTATATGTATATAATGTCTTTTGTCTGGCAAAAAAAATTTCCCTGGAACATAATTACATTAATTTTTATGGGGAAAATGGATTTGCTTAACATCATTTTGCTTAACGTCGCATTTTTCAAGAACATAACTCCAACGTTAAGCAAGGAGTTACTGTATAATCATATGATTACCATGCCCTGCTAAATACAACATTAAATATTATGGAATACATGATGCAGCTCTTCTCTGTTTTACATTTTCTTAATCAGTATGTCTAAGCTGATTTTATATTTTAAATGTACTCTTAAGCCTTCATAAAGTAATCATTCCAGATTACTACGTATTTAACTCACTAAAACAAAGACATTATTTTAAATTAATCAGTCACAGAGGTTTATTGTGTTCATAACAATATTCATTGCTTTTAGAAAAAGGGAACACTAATTTACTTTGTGTGATCTCCATAACAATAAATAGACATGTTTATGAAGTTTCACCAACTTTAAAAAATATATTTCCAAAGATTTTAGGCATAACAAAGGATTTTATATCTTACAAAGGTATCGATTTTGCTAGAAGGTTCTCTTAAAACTACTGCATCAAATAGTCAGAAGTAAAGAAAGGGAAACTTATTTGTCCAGATATCTGGAAGGAAAGGGGTGTTGTCCCTTTAAGGGCTCTCTTCAACAGGGGGGTGAAGGGAGAAAGGGATGGACAGAAAGGACAGGAAGATTTTGGAAGCAAGTTTTTTGAACTATAGTAATTAAAATTAAAATATGTCTTTTAGATAAGGGTGGTCTTTTGAAGGATTTATTTTAAAAACTATATGTCTGAAGATCCAAGCATTTAAGACTAAAGATGAATACTCAGATTGTGCATCTAAAAATCTATGCAAGGATTTTTTAGAGATGTGATTTTATAATCTTCAGCAATCTTCTAATGAAAAAAAGCAAATTTTAAACTAAGGTCCTGTACACGAACATGTGCTGAGTAAATATTACAATAATGCGCAACGGTTTTTGTTAGTAAATTCAGAAACCGACAGTATATATCTAGGGGTTGGCAAATGCCTGTTAAATGGCTTCATTACTTGAATGATTCTTTAACTTGAATGGCTCTTTAACAGTTTCAGTGCTGTGCTAATACAGGGGTGGGCAAACTTTTTGGGCAAACCAGAGGGCCACATCTGGGTATGGAAATTGTATGGCGGGCCATGAATGCTCATGCAATTGAGGGTTGGAGTGTGGGAGGGGGTGAGGGCTCTGGCTGGGGGTGTGGGCTCTGGGGTGGGGCCAGAAATGAGGAGTTCAGAGTGGGGCAGAGGATTGGGGTGCAGGGGTTGAGGGCTCCAGCTGAGGGTATGGGCTTTAGGGTGGGACGGGGGATGAGGGGTTGGGGGTACAGGAGGGTGCTCCGGGCTGGGACCAAGGGGTTCAGAGGGTGGGAGGGGGATGAGGGGTGCAGGCTCCAGGCAGCGCTTACTTCAAGCAGCTCCCAGAAGCAGTGGTGTGTCCCCCCTCCAGCTCCAATGCAGAGGGGCAGCCAGGCGGCATGGTGTGCTGCCCCGTCCGCAGGTGCCACCCCCTGCAGCTCCCATTGGCCATGGTTCCTCTATGCATAGGAGCTGGAGAGGGGACATGCCGCTGCTTCCGGGAGCCGTTCAGAGCCACAGCACGAGCGGAATGGGGCAAGCCCCTGGCTGGAGCACTGGAGCGGGGCAAGCCCCAGACCCCACTCCCTGGTGGAAGCTCAAGGGTCAGATTAAAATATCTGAAGGGCCGGATGTGGCCTGTGCGCCGTAGTTTGCCCACCCCTGTGCTAATAGGTCTGGCAGGCTGGAAGGTTTTTTCACTTTTAAATTACTAGATTCCCTCTGGAGGAAGACTCACCAGGCTGCAGCAGCTAGCTGTGAGAAGCCTGAAGGAAGGGTCAGAACAGGGATAGGAAGATGTGGGAGGGTGGACATTAAGACCCAGGGGTGCACCAAATTTTCGGGTGCCCTACCCAGCTGCCTCTGCTGCGTATGTCTAAGGATGGCCCTGTGTGTGTGCACGCCTGCGTGTCTGTGTGTGTGAGAGACACACACCATGTGTGTGTCAGAGAGAGAGAGACGCGCATTTCCTCTTTAACTACGCTGACCCCACTCTAAGTACACTGCCTTTTTAATTAGCTCAGCAAGTTTGAGACAGCAGCTGCTGCCGGGAAGCTCCCTCCTTTCTGAGCCCTGTGGTGTGGTGTGGTGAGCCCTGAGCGCCCCTCTCTGTGGAGATAAGGTACAGGAGCGGGGGGAGGGGGACACCCTGACATTAGCACCCCTCTTTCCCGCCCCCTGCACAGCAAGCAGGAGGCTCCCGGGAGCAGCTCCAAGGCAGAGGGCAAGAGCAGCAAACGGCAGTGGGGGGAGGGGCAGCTGAACTGCCCGGCATTGATAGCCTGCTGGGCGGCTGCGCAGAGGGAACTTAGGGGAGCCGATGGGGGGCTGCCGGCCCACCCTGGTTCCAAGCTCCCCCCACTAGCTCCAGCGGCTGCTCTTCCTGCAAGCAGTGGAAAAAGAAGGCAGCTGCCAAACAACGTTATAAGGGAGCATTGTGCAACTTTAAATGAGCCTGTTCCCTAATTGATCAGCAACATAACAACGAAACAAAATGTTAACTGTTAAGTGAGGAGTTACTGTAATGAGAAAGGAAAACACAGGGGAGACACAATAACTTTTTTTTTTTTAGAAGTGATCTGATAATTATCATTATCGACGATCACTTTTCTGCTGACAACAATGTATAGTTATAGCCCAGCTTTTAGTTCAGGATCTGTTCACCTTCTCAGATTGAGAAACATCTTGCTGAATGAGTAGGTCCATTGAAATTACTGAGGCTACTCAAGGAACAAGGTACTATTCAATGAGAGGAAGGGTAATCCAATGGGTAGGGTGTTCTCCTCGGACTTGGAAGACCTGTTCCCTGCTCTGCCACAAACTGCCTGTGTGACTGCAAAAGAGAGATTATAGCACTTCTCTACATCACAATTGCAAGAATAAATACACTGAAGAATGTGAGGTGCTATTTAAGTGCTATGGTAATCAGGACCATATAAGTGTGGTAGATAGATAGATAAGAGGAGCAGAATCTGGCTCTGAATTCTTTGACAATTCTTGTTTAAAAAGCTGTTAATATCTATTGTCCATGTTAGCCTTGCATTTCAGGTAAGTGTGATCACATATAATTCTTTTTACAACACAGTTAGAATTTGGAAGATAGATAACTGGATACCAGAGCTTTTCTTCTGGATGGATCACAGGTACTTCAGTGATGAGTGCGTTATAAGAAACTGTATAGAATAGACTAGAGTAGTTCAAATCTAGTGCGGACTGGCAATGACTGAAAGGTCTTAGCATCTTATAGCTGGCATTACCATGTTTGGTGGCCCATGTGAAGCAAGGGATGGCTTTAGTCCAGTTGCTATGGAACAGGCATTCACATCATAAAAGCCACCATCACAGGTGACACTCTGAGTCGTTCCTCAGGGCTGTACACAATCAAGCTTGATGGGAATAGTGACAGTGGCTGCTGGACTCATGTTTTTGTGTTTTAGTCTGTTCTGATTTCTCTGTGGTATTTCTAAGAGCCAGGCAGTACGTAACAAGGTAGTTGGGGTAAAGAGAGACATGCAGAATCCAAAGGATTTTTGCCATCAAATAACAGTTCTTGGTACCTTGATCATCATCTCATCATGGTAAATCCCAAAGGGTTGGGCTCTGGGTGGTTTCCCTTTAATAATTATGGAACTGTTTGGGAATTGGGTGCTACACCGAACTTTTGCGGAGGCTCCACCCGAGGCTACCAGCCGCCTGCAAAGCATTTTCAGGGGCTGCATAGTGGCAGCCCTGCCTTACTATCGTGCATCTGCCAACACAACGTTCCATCTTCCTCCTTCCCCTTTGCAGGAGGAGGGTAAGAATACAGGGGGCGGCAGCCTGCCCAAAGAAAGTTAATATTCTTCCAGCGCCTGCTTCACTATAGCATGTGGGAGATGCGGTGTAAGGATGCACAGAACCTGGCCCTGCTTCCATGAAAGTCTGTGAAAAGCATGGGAGCTTTGCCATTCCCTTCAATGCCAGCTGCACGTCTCTGCCCCTGCCTGCACACAGCAGGGAGGGACGCAGCCCTGCAGCAAACATTATTTTTCTGCTCTTTACAACAGTCACAGCTACATTGGCTGCAGTGCTGCCCCGGTGTTGTGTGCATGTTTACTATGGGAGGTACAGCAGGGCTGGTTTTTCCAGGTCACCCTGGAAGCCAGGCCTTTGCTCCTCCAGCAGGGTTCCTGTGAAAGTAGGAACCTGCAAGTGAAACTGACTCCATAACTAGTCCTAGCCTAAACCCACAGAGCTTTCAGTAGGGGAGCAGATTACCATGAAGAATGACATGGGCTTTCCAAATTCTTTCCCTTTCAATAGTTGATTGATGCTGCATGATCCCAACCACTCCAGACTGAAGGGAGTGAAGAGTAGCACGTGCATGCGCCGTCCGGAGAAGGGTGTGGTGCGCTCCAGCAGGCCGGGATAGCGTGGGTTCATCATCACCTTCAGTTTCTGCAGGGAAGTGTTTGCAGCCACTGTCGTGAGTCTGTTGTGTCTCCTCCCTCCTGCGTCCATCTGTGCTGCCTTGTAGAGCTTGAGGCTACATTGACAACACTGTGTTAACTCTTGAGGGTTCAGCCCAGTGCTAGTTCATCATTTAGCAGCAAGGGATTCCCTGGGAAATATCCCACCTGATCTCAACACTTTGCTTTAGGAGAAGTTCATGAGCAGATCCGCAGAGAATCCTCTGATTAGTGACTGCAAGGAGATATGGGGAAAGGGGAGCTGCTGCTAAAGTGAGTGAGCAAGAAACAGAAGGAACTCAAGGAGCTGACATAGGACATTGTTCCAGTGACCCTGTGCAAGTCTGTTTTAAATGTAATGGTGGAGGGCTCGTTGTAATTGTACTGTAGAGTATCACCCAGCATCATGAGTCAAAAACGCCAAGCAAGTCATAGTGGAGTACCTAGTGGTAGCAGTAGTACTAGCAGTAAGAAAACCAGGAAAACCATTAGTTTGGGTACTAAATTAGACGTTTTAAGGCATTTTGATGCAGGTGAGCGTGCGGTAGACATTGGCATCACCCTAGGTCTTACTCCGACCACTGTGAGAACAATTCGGAGTAATGCCGACAAGATCAGGGCTAGTGCTCGGTGTGTAACACCGCTTAGTGCTACTAAAATAAGTCGATCAAGAAGTAGTTTGATGGAAAACATGGAGCGTCTTCTCTCAGTGTGGATAGAGGACCAAAACCAGCGGAACATACCTCTAAGTTTGCCTGTGATACAAGCTAAGGCAAAAAGTTTGTATGACAAATTAAAGAGAGACCAAGGTGAAGGATCACAGACAGAGATGTTCATGGCAAGTCGGGGATGGTTTGATCGGTTCAAGAAGCGCTTCCACCTGCACAACATGAAGATGTCCAGTGAGGTGGCTAGTGCCGATCCTGCAGCAGCTAAAAAATTCCCCGACTATCTCAAGAAAATAATTGAGGAATGTGGCTATTCACCAAAGCAAGTCTTCAATGTCAATGAAACGAGCCTCTACTGGAAGATGATGCCTGAACGGACGTGCATTTCCCGAGAGGAGAAGACAGCGCCTGGATTTAAAGCAGTAAAAGACCGCCTAACTTTGCTTTTAGGTGGTAATGCTGCCGGAGACATGAAGATGAAACCACTGACTGTGTACCAATTCGAAACACCACGAGCTCTCAAGGGACTTTCAAAGGAACACCTTCCGGTCATTTGGAGATCCAATAAGAAGGCATGGATAACTGGAGCTATTTTTTCAGAATGGCTGACTCTTTATGCCATCCCTGCATGGAAGGAATATTGTGCCAAGGAAAATCTTGATTTCAAGATTTTATTACTTATTGATGATGTACCAGCTCATCCAATCAACTTGGACGACCTTTGCGAAAACGTCAAAGTTGTCTTTCTGCCACCGAACACCACATCACTCATCCAACCCATGGACCAAGGAGCCATTGCTGCCTTTAAGGCATATTACTTACGCCGTACTTTCAACCAGCTCATCAGAGGCACTGATGGAGAAGGCAAGCCTACAATTCGGCAATTTTGGCGTGACTACAACATCCTCAAGTGCATCAATAACATCGGTGAGTCCTGGGCTGAAGTTACTCAGGCATGCATGAACGGTGTGTGGTGGAAGTTGTGGCCTGAATGTGTCAATGATTTAAAAGGATTTAAAGATGTTGTTCCCACTATGAAGAAAGATATTCTCGGCTTGGCCAAGAAAGCGGGTTTTGATAAGGTGGAAGAAGCCGACGTTACACAACTTCTGCAGTCACACGGAGAAGAGCTAACCAATGAAGATCTGATGCAACTAGACATGATGAGAGCAGTGGAAGACGAGGGCCAAGAAGTAAAAGAAGAACCAACCCATCGAAATTTGACTGCCAAACGGCTTTCTGAAGCTTTCCAAATGATTGAAGCTGGCTTACAAATCCTTAGTGATGACGATCCTGACAGGGAACGCAGCTCCAAAGTTATTAGGGGAGTTGGTCATCTAATGACTTGCTATAAAGAAATTTACCAAGAAAAAAAAAGGAAAGCAAAACAACCATCTCTAGATATGTTTTTTCGAGTTGTGACGGTTAAGGAAGAACAGCAAGAGGAGCAGCCGGACAATCCACCCTCTTCCACCTCTGACTTTACCACCTCAGCTGAGCTTAACAATCATCATTGCTGAGTACAGTATTAAATTGTTTGTTTAAAATTTATGCCTGCATTAAATTGTTTGTTTAAAATTTTTTAAAACTTACACGGTATATGTATATAATGTCTTTTGTCTGGCAAAACAAATTTCTCTGGAACCTAACCCCTCCATTTACATTAATTTTTATGGGGAAATTGGATTCACTTAGATCATAGATCATAGAATATCAGGGTTGGAAGGGACCTCAGGAGGTCATCTAGTCCAACCCCCTGCTCAAAGCAGGACCAATCCCCAATTTTTGCCCCAGATCCCAAATGGCCCCCTGAAGGATTGAACTCACAACCCTGGGTTTAGCAGGCCAATGCTCAAACCACTGAGCTATCCCTACGTCACATTTTTCAAGAACATAACTCCAACGTTAAGCAAGGAGTTACTGTATAATCATATGATTACCATCCCCACCTTGTTAATTGGATTCCATGCTATTGGCTTTGGGCATATAAACAGTGCCATGCCCTTTTTGTGATGCTGATCACCCTGTTAATTTTTTGTGGGTTTAAGATTTGGTTTTGGAGATTCCATCCAGTTTGTTTCCTTTGATCTAATTAATGTATAAAATAAGCCTATTTAAAACTCATTATTATTATTGAATTGTTTCATTTTACAGCATCCAATAACATATTAGGTGCCTCACAATACAGAGGAGACATGGTTCCTGACCGGAAGAGTTTAGAATCTAATACAAGAGTTTACAGTCCCTCAGGACTCATTCTTCCAAGACTGAGAGAAGGTGTCTTTAACTAGACTGCATAAGAATATTACTCCTATACACATTTTACACCTGCTGTGTTATAACCCCTTCATACTATGGTATGTCCCCAAAGTACCTGCTGTGTTATAATCCTTACAGGCTAGTGAAAAGGGACCTCAACAATAAGCAGTTTTTAGGTTTTGAGGGTGCCACAACATTGTCAAAAGTGTTAAAACAGAAACTGGTAACCTCAAAAACTGTGATGTCGTCAACGTCCTGTAGCACCAAGGTTCCTACAATGCAGATGGTGTGAATCACAGAATCGAAGGACTGGAAGGGACCCCGAAAAGTCATCTAGTCCGGTCCCCTGCACTCAAGGCAAGGCTAAGTATTATCTAGTTCATCCCTGCCTGGTGTTTGTCTAACCTGCTCTTAAAAATCTCCAGTGATGGAAATTCCACAGTCTCCCTTGGCAATTTATTCCAGTGCTTATACCTTGATAGTTGGAGAGTTTTCCCTAATGTCCAGCCTAAACCTCCCTTGCTGCAATTTAATCCCATTGCTTCTTGTTCTATCCTCAGAGGTTAAGGGGAACAATTTTTCTCCCTCTTCTTTGTAACAACCTTTTATGTATTTGAAAACTGTTATGTCCCCTCTCAGTCAGGGGTTCTCAACCTTTTTCTTTCTGAGCCTCCCCCGTCCAACATGCTATAAAAACTCCATGGCCCAGATGTGCCACAACAGCTGTTTTTGTGCATATAAAAGCCAGGGCTTACGTAGGGACAGGGTCTCAAACTCAAATGACCACAAGGGCCACATGAGGACTAGTGCATTGGCCCGAGGGCCATATCACTGACACCCCCCTTGCGCTGCCCCCGGCCCAGCCCCCCTTCCATGAGGCCCCACCCTTGCCCCACCTCTTCCCACCCCTTCCCTGCCCTCGTTCCAATCCCTTCCCTGAAGTCCCCACCCCAACTCCGCCCCCTCCCTGTCCCCAGGGGGTGCAGGAGGGGTGCAGGGTGTGGCGGGGGCTCAGGGCAGGGAGTTGAGATGCAGGAGGGGTGCAGGGTACAGCAGGGGGCTCAGGGCAGGGAGTTGGGGAGTGGGGTGCAGGAGGGGTGAGGGGTGCGGCGGGGGCTCAGGGCAGGGGGTTGGGGTGCAGGAGGGGTGCAGTGTGCGGCAGGGAGCTCAGGTCAGGGAGTTGGGGTGTGGTGTGGGGCTCAGGGCAGGGAGTTGGGGTGCAGGAGGGGTGCAGGGTGCGGCGTGTGGCAGGGAGCTCGGCAGGGAGTTGGGGTACGGTGTGGGGCTCAGGGCACGGAGTTGGGGTGCAGGAGGGGTACGGCATGCGGCAGGGGGCTCAGGGCAGGGAGTTGGGATGGAGGAGAGGTTCAGGGTGCGGGCTCCAGCCTGGCGCCGCTTACCTAGAGTGGCTCCAGGGTGGCAGTGGCGTGCACTGGGGCCAGGGCAGGCTGCCTGCTTGCTCTGGCCCCGCTCTGCTCTGCTCCACTCCAGGAAGCAGCCGGAATCACATCCCTGTGGGGGGCGGGGAGGGGGAAGAGGGCTCTGCATTGCTTTCGCTTCCAGGTACCTCCCCCGATACTCCCACTGGCCGCAGTTACCCGTTCCTGGCCAAAGGGAACTTTGGTGGTGGTTGCCTGGAAGCGAGAGCAACACATGGTTCTGCATGCCACGGGGGGGTGATCCCGAGGCTGGATTCGGCCCGTGGGATGTAGTTTGCCCACCCCTGGCCTGGAGGTAGGCAGAGGGGCGGGAGGATGGGGGCGTAGGGAGCTTGGTGGGCCATACAAAAGAACCCAGCGGGCCGCGTGTTTGAGACCCCTGTGTTAGGGGGTATCAAGGAGGGCAATTGCCTGGGGCCCAACACCATAGGGGGCAACGCGAAGCTAAGTTACTCAGGCTTCAGCTTCATCCCCAGGTGGTGGGGCTCGGGGCCCTCAGCTGCAGTCCCACGAGGTGGGACTTTGACTTTCTGCTCTGGACCCTAGTGAGTCTAATGCCAGCCATGCTTGGCAGACCCCCTGAAACCTACTCACAGCTCCCCAGAGGGCCCCAGACCCCTGAGAACCACTGCTCTAAGTCTTCTCTTCTCCAGACTAAACAAACGCAGAGTTTTCAGTCTATCCTCATAGGTCATGTTTTCTAGACCTTTAATCATTTTTGTTGCTCTTCTTTGGACTTTCTCCAATTTGTCCACATCTTTCCTGAAATGTGGCGCCCAGAACTGGACACAATATTTGAGTTGAGGCCTAATCAGCGCAGAGTAGAGTGGAAGAAATACTTATGTCTTACAACACTCCTACTAATCCATCCCAGAATGATGTTTGCTTTTTTTTTTGCAAAAGTGTTACACTGTTGACTCATATTTAGCTTGTGATCCACTATGACCCCCAGATCCCTTTTCTCAGTATTCTTTCCTAGGCAATCATTTCCCGTTTTGTATATGTGCAACAGATTGTTCCTTCCTAAGTGGAGTATTTTTGGATTTGTCCATATTGAATTTCATCCTGTTTACTTCAAAGTATTTCTCCAGTTAGTCCAGATAATTTTGAATTTTAATCCTATCCTCCAAGGCACTTGCAAACCCCCGCGCCCCCAGCATGGTATAATCCGCAAACTTTATAAGTGTATTCTGTTTGCCATTATCTAAATCATTGATGAAGATATTGAACAGAATCAGACCCAGAACTGATCTCTGCGGCACCCAACTTGATGTGCCCTTCCAGCCTGACTGCGAACCACTGATAACTACTCTCTGGGAACAGTTTTCCCAGCATGCTAAAATCCTCCACTTTTGCTACTGTTCTATAAACAAAGAACAAAACTTCACACAGTGTGAACCATTACTTTGGGAGAAGGACACATGCACTTTAAAGGAAATAATTCATCAGGATTTTTCAAATTTAGTAGGGAAAAAATGTTGAATTTTATGCTCAGACCTGAGAAATTTTTCATTCATTTTACAAATTCCTGAAAATACATGCTTAAAAATGAAAATATTGCTTCACACCAACTACAGCAGCACCAAGTAGTCTGTCCCAAGGACCAGAACAGTAATATATTTTCAACTATTCCAGTATTATTAGTGAATGTTTCTCTTATGAATGCTGACATATTTGAAAGAGTCGAAACATCCCTTACTTTCTTTGAATACCCTCAGACAGCTGAACAAAAGAGTATGAAACAACAGGTGGAACAAATCAGTTACTTAGATACTGGACCCAATAAATGGGGTTGGGTCCATTATGATTAAGAGCAGTATTCTTGTAACACAAACAGATGTGCAGTAAAACTGGGATGATTGTTCCACAATCATCCAGCAAATGGAACTCTCCAAAGTATACAGTTAATCCAGCCTCAGACAGATTGTCTTCTGATCTCCAAGAACAGCTCTGAAAATTAGGTTGTTGAAAACTGCATGTATTGAGGAATTCTAAATTGACACTTGCTTTTTCCAAATAAAGTTCCTTATTTTGATCATTTTTAAATGTAAACACAAAAAGCAGGATTGAGATTAGTTTTGAAACCATGAGCATAAGGGAGATACACATAAAGAGATCACTTTCAGCAGTACAAAGTTGTGCCTTGGTTTTGAACCAGGAATATTTCAGACACCTCAGGAGAGTCAAAATGGAACCATTTGGCCCAGCCTGTCGCAAACATAGATCACTGATGTATGGGGAAGTGTTAAAAGGACCTACACCTTTTTTTCTCTGTATGATCAAAAATGACTTTAGTTACAGATCCTGCCACAACAGTAAAAAGCATGGAGGAAGAAAATGAAAGAGAATCTCACAAAGGCACCAAATGGAAAAAAGAGAAGGCTGATCATGTGAGATGTCTTGTTAATCAAGGCCCCTGTGGTTACAATATAATACATTAAGTGAATGAATAATCCAGTATTTATACATAATAATACACTAACTTTGTCAGCCTTACCTTCTTTTCTGAGGGCAGTAAGGATTGATCCTCTAGGATCCTCTTTGATTTTCTCTTCTGTTTGCTTCCAGGTCTGCAAAAACCTTCCTAGGAATCTGCAAATTAAGGAAACTGTATTGATACATTCCTCTGGCTCTTCCAGTGTGATTTGTCTTATTCTGGCCCCCATTTCTGACTCCAGTCATTCCATTAACAGGAACAGGACTACTTAGTATGTCAAAACCTAAGCAACTATGTAAGGATTTACAGGAGGATCTGGCTCTTAGAATGCAAGTCCCTCAGGACAGAACTGCCTTTTTATTTGTCTTGTACAGCATGAGCACAGTGGTGACACTGAGCAAATGATAAATAATGTTATGTAACCTATTTTTTCCCCAGACTAGTTTTTCCTCAGTCTCTAAACTGATTTATCAGGTATTCCTTTAAAATGTTTATTCCCTTAACATGTATTCATTGAAGAGAGCTTCTCTGTGCTGCTTCTGTTTCTGTTAGCTAGCTTTTAGTAAATGGATGTGTCCCTTTGCTCAGTGGCTACATTTATAGAGAAAAAAAAAAAACACAGTTAGCTACTGCCTTCCCTATCTGAAAATTCAGGTGGATGTTTTAGAGTTCAAAGTGTAACCAGCTGAAGTTACATACCTCCTGCACCAATCTCTCAATTCAAAGCAGGTGCTGAAAGTTATCCAGATGTGTATAAACATGGCTTTCCCCCCTACAGACAAATTAGAACTAATATGCATTAACACAGACAGTCTCTGGGCTTGCAAGTCCAGTCTGTGAAGCATTGCTTTTTTATTTGACTAATTTATTACAATACTAATTTATTACATACTAACTTGTTAGGTGTTTGATTATTAGTAAGAACTTAAATCCTAGCACTGTGGCAACAAGGTAACATTTCATGTAAAAAATAAAGGGTTCCTGTTTTTTTCTCTGAATTATGTCATGAAAATTTTGATTGATATGTTTAAAACCTGTTTGACAGAAACCCGTTTCTCTTTAAATAGAGGTTTTTTCCCCTTAGGGCAAGTTTAGTGTTAGCTTACATTATCTTCCTAGCACTGCTTTAATCCTACCTAATACCTACCTAATGGCTGCATCTGTAATCAGATGTTTATGGTCGCTCCGGTCTACAGACGACTGGGGCCATTGTCCGCAGGCAGCGCCTTATACTTTTTGGACACGTCACAAGGATGCCACCAGACGTTCCAGCGAACGCTGTTCTCCATGTGGCTTGTAACATCTGGGATAAAATTCCACCAACCAAGGGGTGGAGACGGCCTAGAGACAGACCCCCTAGTACAATGGTTTCATGAAGTCTTTTCTGATGTTGGATTCTCAGGACATCAAGCCTTTGCGGTTGGGCAGGAACGGACCAAACGGCAAACAATTGCTACGGCCAACTGTCTGGCTAAATGTTGAAGAAAGAGAGAGAGAGAATGCTTGGTAGAACTTGGAGAGTTATTTTGTGGTGATATTAGACTAGGACAGGTTTTTTAGGCTGAACATTCAGAGGTCAGATACGCTATTCCAAAATCATGCAGCTGCTTTGTATCCTGGTAATGCATCTGTTACTTTGCAATTTACATGACAGTTAGTTTCTTTATGTAGGGCTTGACAGCTCCCATTAAAGTCAAATGAAAGACATCCATTTACTTTAATGAGAGTTGGATCAGGGCCTTGATAAAGAAACTAGCTGTCATGTAAATTGCAAAGGTATCCATGTGAGTCTCTAGCTATTTATAGAAATCAAATTCAAACTTTCTTTGATCCGGATAAGATGAAAGACAATCATTGGGGAATAAAAGAAGGAAGATGAAACATCAATGGATCCTCTCCCTTTGATGTAGAAGAGGTTTCCCATGAAGTCATATAATAATTTAGATTTTAAATTTTTTAAATAATATTGAATTTATTCATATCTATTTGAGACGTGAAAGTATCTACTGGAAACAAAGTAGTTTTCTTTACTATGTCCGATCAATTTATAGTCTGCTGTAGGTTGTGATGATAAATTAAATTTTACTGATTGCAATTGTTTCCTTGTTATGGATTAGGATGAATAATTATGCATTGACAATATGTGGACTTCTTTTAAGTTGATATTTTTCCTGTTTCAGTTTAAATGGCAAGAGCAGGTTCACTAGATCTTCCTTTAAAAATATTTTTCATAGACTATAAAACCAGAAGGGACTACTGTGATCATCTAGTCTGCCCTGTTTATACCACAGGCCACAGAACTTTCCTGAATTAATGTCTGTTGGAATTAGAGCATATCCTTTAGAAAAACATCCAATCTTGATTTAAAAATTACTAGTGATGGAGAATCCACCACAATCCTTGGTAAATTGTTCCAATGGTAAATTACCATCACTGTTAAAAATGTGCACCTTATTTCTAGTCTAAATTTACCTAATTTCAGCTTTTAGCTATTGGATCCTGATATATCGTTATTTGCTAGACTGAAGAGCCTATTATCAATTTTTTTGTTTCTCATGTAAGTACTTATAAACTGTGATCAAGTCACCCCTTAACAAAAGGAAGATTAAGCTAATCATTCACATATTTCTTCTCTGTGCCTTCTCCAATTTAAAGTAAGAATGGAGGAGTGTGGAGATTGTAGGGCATCAACAGAATGAAGTTGCAGTGTGGTTTATTAGTAGTCATCCCATAAGAATGGAGATCAGCTTTCCTGGGTTCAATTTCCAATTCTGCTGAGTGATCTGAGGAAGGTCTCTGTGTCTCAGTTTCCCCATCCCTAGAACAGAGATGGTAATATCCACTTCACCAGGGTGGACATTTAATTAATTAATGTTTGAACAGTGATTTGACAGCTTCATTTGAGAGTCATTTAGGGTTCAATCCTGCAAGGTGCTGATCAACTCCTGGAGGTTATGAGCACCCTCAACTCCCACTGACTTCAGAAGCTTCTTAGCACCTTTCAGGATCAAGCCCTTGAAGAACTATGGGTTAAATCCACCTAGGCATGGAGGACCTTCCCTACCACCTAAGAGTTGTGTGCAGGATGGGGTGCAGACGAAGTGACTATACAACTACTAAAGAACATGACAGCACATCTCTTCAGCAACACTGGCTATCGCAAACACATCAAACCTGTCCCCCGCTCTCTAGATTAGCTTTCCATAGAATATCGAATCAAGTTCAAGGTGTCAGTCCTTATCTTCATAGTGCTCCATGACCTGGTCTACTATATCTAAAAGACTGACTGAAGATCTGCGATGAAGGCCGTGGTCGACAACTCACTCTTCTGACACAATGTATTTTTCTACCGGAAAGGGAAAACTCATCTATGCAGGAGACAGAACTTTCTTGGGGCCTGGTGTCAGACTGTGGAATGAACTCCCTTAGGAAGTAAGGACATCAAAAACAAACAACCCACCTCACTAAAACAAAACACTGCACACATTTCTCCCCTGCAGAGCTGATGAGAGAACAAACCACATGGGACCAAAGAGAGTCATCTTACTTAATGCAGTACTGGAAGATGCCCAAACACTACTGTGATGTGCTCGGTTTAAGAACCTATTTCTAGTAACTCCCCACTTAACATCATCCTGGTTAACATGGTTTCATTGTTACATTGCTGATCAATTAGGCCTTGGCTACACTTGCAAGTTAGAGCGCATTAAATCAGCCCTGGGCGCTCTAACTCCTGAGGTGTCCACACTGGCAAGGCACGTAGAGCACCCGGACTCCGTGGCTCGAGCACTCCTGGTAATCCACCTCCATGAGAAGCATAAAGCTTGCTGCGCCCCGGCTGGAGCGCCGCAGCGCCAGTGTGGTCACCCTGGTCTGTTAGTGTGCTCTGATCGGCCTCCAGAAGTGTCCCACAATGTCTGTTCTAGCCACTCTGGTCATCACTTTGAACTCTACTGCCCTGCCCTCAGGTGACCAACCGTCAGAACCTCCCTTTAAATTCCCAGGGAATTTTGAAATTCCCCTTCCTGTTTGCTCAGCAAGGCATGTAGTGCTCTCAGCGCATCTTTCCAGGTGACCATGCCTACAATGCACCAGGCAATCCCCAGTATGGAGCAATGGCAAGGTGCTGGACCTCATCAGTGTTTGGGGAGAGGAAGCTGTCCAGTCCCAACTGTGCTCCAGCCATAGGAATTATGACACCTATGGGCAGATATCAAGGGCCATGATAGAAAGGGGCCATGACCAGGACACAGGGTTAAAGTGAAAGAGCTGTGGAATGCCTACCACAAAGCCCGTGAGGCAAACCGCCGCTCCGGTGCTGCCCCCACGACCGTGGGGTCGCTACTTGGGGGCGACCCCACCTTCACGCCAAAGAGTGCCATGGACACTTCAGAGGCCGTAGCAGCAACAAAGCAGGAAGAGGAAAGCAGGAGTGAGGGTGCTGAGGAGGAGGGGGCCCAGAGCCAGAGGACGGCCCGGCATCCCTAGATGCATGCAGCCAGGAGCTGTTTTCAAGTCAGGAGGAAGGTAGCCAGTCGCAGTGGGTGGTGCTTGGGGAAGAACAAACAGCAGAGGAGGTGCCTGGTAAGTGGCTTTTATTTTGGGAAGGTAGTTGTTTGGTGCAGGCTCCTGGGCGGAGGAGGGTTGCAGAAAGAAGGGTTAGGGCTGCGTGCATGCCTAGATGCGGAATAGGGCGTTGATGTGCTCTCTCACATCGCGGTAATCGGCCTCAGTGATCTCATCGAAGGCCTCATGCAGAAGCTGGGCAATCCGCTTGTGCAGGTTCCTTGGCAGAACTACTGTGCTCCTTGTCCCAGTAAGGCTAACATGTCCGCGCCACTGTGCCCTGAGGGGTGGGGGGAACATTGCTGCACACAGGCAAGCGGCATAAGGGCCAGGGCAGAAGCCGCATTGTAGTAGAAGACCCTCCCTTGCTTCCCAGGTCACCCTCAGCAGCGAGATATCTTCCAGGATGAACTCATCCTATGGAAAATGTGGGGACAGTGTTCAGTATAGGGGCCCCCTGCAGCTGTTGGCTCTCCCCAGGGCACAGAACCCCAGAGGACAGTACAGTCCTGAAACAATCAGTCCCCCTTGCCCCTGTGCTTACCATTTTGGGGCTCTTGTGGGTTATGTGCGCTCACTTTGGGATAGGCACTTTCTGCTATTGTGTGCACTGTGCTTGTCTCTAAGTTCGGCCGAGTCATTGCTCTGTCTGGTGTGAACAATGCTGCCTCTGTTAATTGTTGCATTTTGGCTTTACAGATGCAACCTTGAGATCCCAGCCGTCCTTATTATCAACGGCCGAAAGGCTGCAAAGAATCAGGAAGTGGCCGCGAAGACGCAAGGAGGACCTTCTGCATGAAGTCATGCAGCAGTCCCTTCCTGAAAATCAAAAAGTACAGGAGTGGCGAGAGACCGAAAGGAGGCTCTGCCAGCAGAATGTAGATTGCTGGCACCAAAGCACGGAGCAACTCCTAAGCATTATGGAGTGCCAAGCGGACTCGATGCAGGTGCTCACAGCACTGCAGATGGAGCAGATCCCCCCACAACCCTTGTACCAAAACTCTTTCCCTTGTTCCCTCATGTCACCGCCAACCCACTTCCCCCAACATCCGGTTTCTTATCGCCACCAGCTGCCTCCAACACCTGTAGCTTCACCACCCAGCCCTGCAAACTACGACCCTTACCTACTGCACTCAACCCCTATCACCATGCATTTTAGCCAGTCTGAAGTGCAGCACTCATTGCACGGCACTCCAGACAGGAAGGCTGAATATGATACCAGGACATACGCAAATCTGGGATTGTCCCGTTCCCCACCCCGCCCCCTTCCCTCGTCCCACACAGCACAGATGTGTCATGCCATGTGTGTTTCTCCAGCAGTTGTGTTTCTTTTCAATAAATGAATTTTTTGGCTTGGCAAACATTCTTTATTGCATTAAGTAAAAGATAGTGTAGCTCAGGAAAGCAATAGGCACTGCAAGTCAGTGCATCATACGTCTTAAAAACAGATGCCTACTAGCACTGGAACCGCTGCACTTCACTCCTGTGCAGGGCACCAGACATTACTGGTGGCTTTCAGCATCAGATTGCTCCCTCAAGGCATCCCTAATCTTTACAGCCCCAGGCTGGGCCCCTCTAATAGCCCTGATCTCTGGCTGTTCAAATTCAGCCTCCAGGTGTTGAACCTCTGTGGTTCATGCCTGAGTGAAGCTTTCATCCTTCCCTTCACAAATGTTATGGAGGGTACAGCACGCAGCTATAACCGTGTGGATGTTGTCATCGGCCAGGTCCAGCTTCCCATACAGACAGTGCCAGCGGCCCTTTAAATGGCCAAAAGCACACTCCACAGTCATTCTGCACCGACTCAGCCTGTTGTTGAACCTCTCCTTGCTGCTGTCAAGGCTCCCTGTGTATGGTTTCATGAGCCACGGCATCAAAGGGTAAGTGGGGTCTCCAAGGATAACAATGGGCATTTTGTCTTCCCCCACAGTGATCATCGGGTCTGGGAAGAAAGTTCTGACTTGCAGCTTCCTGAACAGTCCTGTGTTCTGAAAGATGCGTGTGTCATGCACCTTTCCAGACCAGCCTGTGTTCATGTCCATGAAATGCCCACAATGATCCACAAGTGCCTGGAGAACCATCGAGAAATACCTCTTCCGATTTATGTACTTGGAGGCTAGGTGGTCTGGTGCCAGAATTGGAATATACATCCCATCTATCACCCCTCTACAGTTAGGGAAAACCATTTGTGCAAAACCAGCCACAATGTCACGCACATTGTCCAGAGTCACAGTTCTTCTGAGCAAGATGCGATTAATGGCCCTGCAAACTTGCATCAACATGATTCCAACGGTCGACTTTCCCACTCCAAACTGGTTAGCACTGATTGGTAGCAGTCTGGAGTTGTCAGCTTCCAGATTGCAATAGCTACATGCTTCTCCACCAGTAGGGCAGCTCTCAATCTTGTATCCTTGCACCGCAGGGTGGGGATGAGCAGCACACAGTCCCATGAAAGTGGCTTTCCTCATCCAAAAGTTCTGCAGCCACTGCTCGTCATCCCAGACTTGCATGACGATGTGATCCCACCACTCAGTGCTTGTTTCCCGAGCCCAAAAGCGGTGTTCCACTGTGGTGAGCATGTCCATGAATGCCACAAGCAATCTCATGTCATATGCGTTATGCGAGTCGACGTCATCGTCAGACTCTTCACTGTCACTTTGTAGCTTAAGGAGTAACTCGACTGCAATTCATGACGTGTTGGCGAGACCCATCTGCATATTCCTCACAAGTTCAGGATCTGTTCCAGACCGAAAGAGAAGACAGAGTGTGCAGTACAAAAACCGTTGAAAGATGGCGCCAAATGTGGATGGAAGCACAGGGATTACTGGGAAGAGAAGCGATACATCACGGGGCATTGGGACAGGACCCAGAATGCCCCACACCCCCCTCCCCCTTCCCACAAGCCACAGCGCCAGAATGGGAAGAGGTGCTCTGTGGGATAGCTACCCATAATGCACCGCTCCCAATGCCACTGCAAGTGCTGCAAATGTGGCTACACCACTGGGCTTACAGCTGACAGTGTGAACACACGGCAGCGCTTTTCCTGCTGCGGTCTCCGAGGGCTGGAGACTCCCGGCGCTCTACATCTGCAAGTGTAGCCATGCCCTTAGAGAACATGCTCATTTAAAGTTGCACAATGCAACCTTATAACGTTGTTTGGCAGTCACCTGCTTTGTCAGCTGCTTGCAGGAAGGGCAGCCCATGGGAGCCAGCTGGTGGGGATTTGGAACTAGGGTGGACCAGCAGCCCCGCATCAGCTCCCCTAAATTCCCTGTGTGGCAGCCGTCCAGCAGGCTATCAATTGCCAGGCAGTTCAGCTGCCCCCCCTCCCCATGTGCTGCTCCTGCCCTCTGCCTTGGAGCTGCTCCCCGGAGCCTCCTGCTTGCTGTGTGGAGCGTGGGGGGAGGAGGGAAAGAGGGGTGCTAATGTCAGGGTGTCCCCCTGCTCCTGCAGCGGGGGGGGGGGGAGGACAGCACACCACAGGGCTCAAGACGGAGGGAGCTTCCTGGCAACAGCTGCTGATCTACTTAAAAAGGCAGTGTACTTAGTGTGGGGTCAGTGTACTTAAAGGGGCAATGCGCGTCTCTCTCTCTCTCTCTCTCTCACACACACACACACACACACACACACACACGGTGTGTGTCTCTGTCTCTCCCTCTCTCTCTCTCACACACACACACAGGGCCATCCTTAGGCATATGCAGCTGCATAGGGCACCTGAAAATTTGGGGCACCCCTGGGTCTTAGTGTCTACCCTTTCCTATCCCTGTTTGATCCTTCCTGCAGGCTTCCCACAGCTAGCTGCTGCAGCCTGGTGAGTCTTCCTCCAGAGGGAATCGAAGTAACTTAAAAGTGAAAAAGCCTTCCAGCCTGCCAGACCTATTAGCACAGGGGTGGGCAAACTACGGCCCAGAGGTCACATCTGGCCCTTCAGGTGTTTTCATCTGGCTCTCGAGCTTCCGCCAGGGACTGGGGTCCAGGGTTCACCCTGCTCCGAGCATGCTGTGGCTCAGTGGCATGTCCCCCCTCCGGCTCCTACGCATAGGGGCAGTCGGGGCTCCGCACACTGCCCCCACCCCGAGTGCTGCCCCCGCAGCTCCCACTGGAACCGCGGCCACACACACACACACACACACACACACACACACACACACGGTGTGTGTCTCTGTCTGTCTCTGCCTTGCTGGGTCTCCTCCCTCCATTTCTGCTGCCTTGTAGAGTGTGAGGCTACATTAACAACAACGCGTTAACTCTTGAGGGCTCAGCCGAGTGCTAGTTCATCATTTAGCAGTGAGGCATCCCCTGGGAAATATCCCACCCTTTTCCACCCTCTGACTCCTCCACCTCGACCAAGCTTCACAATCATCATTGCTGTGTACAGTATTAAATTGTTTGTTTAAAACGTATACTGTGTAAATATATGTGTGTGTGTGTGGTGTGTATATATATATATGTATATAGTCTTTTGTCTGGGGAAAAATTTTTTCCCTGTAACCGAACCCCTGCTATTTACATTAATTCTTATGGGGAAATTGGATTCGCTTAACATCGTTTCGTTTAAAGTAGCCTATTTCAGGAACATAACTACAATGTTAATTGAGGAGTTACTATAAAACAGAACAGATCAGCACAGAAACGTATAGCATAGAGGGGGACGTCTATCTCCCTTGCGTCCTGCAGAGCGGGGTCTCCAGTCTGATTCAACATCTTGTTAATTTTTAGTTATAAAGCACTTAAAATAGTAACCTCCTATGTCTGGTTTTTTTTCAACTAATAATCTTTTGGAACTAAATAAAATGAAAAAATGGGAGCAGTTTCTGTACAACAGTCTCTTGCATCTCCATAATTTAGATAGCTAATCAGGAAATGAGCTGCATGCAGTGCTGAAAATTTAGCCCGAACCATTACTTAGGGTGAGTAACGATTTTCACCAATACAGTCAAAATAAAAGCCAAATCCAGCTCTCTGAATTCTTCCTTTTCTTCCTGGCATAATTATCCTATGACTGCCTTGACTAGGAGGGTCAGGCACATAGAAAAAAATAAATATAGTTAAATGATCATTACTCACTAGAACACAGAATTAAAGGTTTTCACTAGAAACAAACATTTTGGGGGTTAGATCCCAAAGTAATTTTACACACCATTTTTTAAACCAGAAAAGTTATTAGAAAACATTTACAATATTTATTAACTTCTCTAATCTATTATAAGAGCTAAGAATATGTTTCTCTATTTGTAAAACAAATAACATTACTCCAGAGCTAATTGAAGAAAATGTAACTACACCCACAAAAACTAAAATACTAATAGGAATTGTTCAACAGGTTATGCATTTCCAGGTAATTTAGTATCTAAAAAAAACCCTATGAAATTGTGCACCAGTTCAGGCCCAGATTCAGGAAAGCATCTCTAGAAGATTCAGAGCAGGCTGCACTGCGGGGACAGGAGGACGGTGAAGAAATTTGGGAGCATGTGACCTCCAGAAGAAGAAAGGGGAGCATCCATATACCAGCAATACAGATACAGGTAAGTAACCGTTTTCATGTTCTCTCCACAGGTACTAATGCGGCGAGTGGACTAGATGATACATCTGAGGGAAAGGAACAGAAGGAGACTCCGCCGATTGGAAAGCATGAGATGCACTGTCCTAGGGTTGGGGGTTCCATGACCACCGCTCCCAAGAGAAGGAGACCGGTGGCGGTGGTCGGGGACTTTCTCCTCGGGGACTGAGTCATCTATCTGCCACCCTGACCCGGAAAACCGAGAAGTCTGCTGCTTGCCAGGAGGTAGGATTCACGATGTGACGGAGAGACTGCCGAGACTCATCAAGCCCTCGGATTGCTACCCCTTCCTGCTTCTCCACGTGGGCACCAATGATACTGCCAAGAATGACCTTGAGCGGATCACTGCAGATTACGTGGCTCTGGGAAGAAGGATAAAGGAGTTTGAGGTGCAAGTGGTCTTCTCGTCCATCCTCCCCGTGGAAGGAAAAGGCCTGGGTAGAGACCGTCAAATCGTGGAAGTCAACGAATGGCTACGCAGGTGGTGTTGGAGAGAAGGCTTTGGATTCTTTGACCATGGGATGGTGTTCCAAGAAGGAGGAGTGCTAGGCAGAGACGGGCTCTACCTTACAAAGAGAGGGAAGAGCATCTTCGCAAGCAGGCTGGCTAACCTAGTGAGGAGGGCTTTAAACTAGGTTCACCAGGGGAAGGAGACCAAAGCCCTGAGGTAAGTGGGGAAGTGGGATACCGGGAGGAAGCACGAGCAGGAGCGCACGAGAGGGGAGGGCTCCTGCCTCATACTGAGAAAGAGGGACGATCAGCGAGTTATCTCAAGTGCCTATACACAAATGCAAGAAGCCTGGGAAACAAGCAGGGAGAACTGGAAGTCCTGGCACAGTCAAGGAATTATGATGTGATTGGAATAACAGAGACTTGGTGGGATAACTCACATGACTGGAGTACTGTCGTGGATGGATATAAACTGTTCAGGAAGGACAGGCAGGGCAGAAAAGGTGTGGGAGTTGCATTGTATGTAAGGGAACAGTATGACTGCTCAGAGCTCAAGTATGAAACTGCAGAAAAACCTGAGAGTCTCTGGATTAAGTTTAGAAGTGTGAGCAACAAGGGTGATGTCATGGTGGGAGTCTGCTATACCGAGACACCAGACCGGGGGATGAGGTGGATGAGGCTTTCTTCCGGCAACTCATGGAAGTTACTAGATCGCAGGCCCTGGTTCTCATGGGAGACTTCAATCACCCTGATATCTGCTGGGAGAGCATTACAGCGGTGCACACACAATCCAGGAAGTTTTTGGAAAGTGTAGGGGACAATTTCCTGGTGCAAGTGCTGGAGGAACCAACTAGGGGCAGAGCTCTTCTTGACCTGCTGCTCACAAACCGGGAAGAATTAGTAGGGGAAGCAAAAGTGGATGGGAACCTGGGAGGCAGTAACCATGAGATGGTGGAGTTCAGGATCCTGACACAGGGAAGAAAGGAGAGCAGCAGAATACAGACCCTGGACTTCAGAAAAGCAGACTTTGACTCCCTCAGGGAACTGATGGGCAGGATCCCCTGGGAGAACAACATGATGGGGAAAGAAGTCCAGGAGAGCTGGCTGCATTTTAAAGAATCCTTATTGAGGTTACAGGGACAGGCGACCAGCTTGTCTTAACAGTGAAATACTTGCTGATCTTAAACACAAAAAAGAAGCTTACAAGAAGTGGAAGATTGGACAAATGACCAGGGAAGAGTATAAAAATATTGCTCGGGCATGCAGGAGTGAAATCAGGAAGGCCAAATGACACCTGGAGTTGCAGCTAGCAAGAGATGTTAAGAGTAACAAGAAGGGTTTCTTCAGGTATGTTAGCAACAAGAAGAAAGTCAAGGAAAGTGTGGGCCCCTTACTGAATGAGGGAGGCAACCTAGTGACAAAGGATGTGGAAAAAGCTAATGTACTCAATGCTTTTTTTGCCTCTGTCTTCACGAACAAGGTCAGCTCCCAGACTACTGCACTGGGCAGCACAGCATGGGGAAGAGATGGTGACCAGCCCTCTGTGGAGAAAGAAGTGGTTCGGGACTATTTAGAAAAGCTGGATGAGCGCAAGTCCATGGGGCCGGACGAGTTGCATCCGAGAGTGCTAAAGGAGTTGGCGGATGTGATTGCAGAGCCATTGGCCATTATCTTTGAAAACTCATGGTGATAGGGGGAAGTCCCAGACGCCTGGAAGAAGGCTAATTTAGTGCCCATCTTTAAAAAAGGGGAGAAGGAGGATCCTGGGAACTACAGGCCAGTTAGCCTCACCTCAGTCCCTGGAAAAATCATGGAGCAGGTCCTCAAGGAATCAATTCTGAAGCACTTAGAGGAGAGGAAAGTGATCAGGAACAGTCAGCATGGATTCACCAAGGGCAATCTAATTGCCTGCTATGACGAGATAACTGGCTCTGTGGATGAGGGGAAAGCAGTGGACGTGTTGTTCCTTGACTTTAGCAAAGCTTTTGACACGGTCTCCCACAGTATTCTTGCCAGCAAGTTAAAGAAGTATAGGCTGGATGAATGGACTATAAGGTGGATAGAAAGTTGGCTAGATTGTTGGGCTCAACGGGTAGTGATCAATGGCTCCATGTCTAGTTGGCAGCCGGTATCAAGTGGAGTGCCCCAAGGGTCGGTCCTGGGGCCGGTTTTGTTCAATATCTTCATAAATGATCTGGAGGATGGTGTGGATTGCACCCTCAGCAAGTTTGCAGATGACACTAAACTGGGAGGAGAGGTAGATACGCTGGAGGGTAGGGATAGGATACAGAGGGACCTAGACAAATTAGAGGATTGGGCCAAAAGAAATCTGATGAGGTTCAACAAGGACAAGTGCAGAGTCTTGCACTTAGGACGGAAGAATCCCATGCACCGCTACAGACTAGGGACTGAATGGCTAGGCAGCAGTTCTGCAGAAAAGGACTTAGGGGTTACAGTGGACGAGAAGCTGGATATGAGTCAACAGTGTGCCCTTCTTGCCAAGAAGGCCAATGGCATTTTGGGATGTATAAGTAGGGGCATTGCTAGCAGATCGAGGGACGTGATCATTCCCCTCTATTCGACATTGGTGAGGCCTCATCTGGAGTACTGTGTCCAGTTTTGGGCCCCACACTACAAGAAGGATGTGGAAAAATTGGAAAACGTCTAGTGGAGGGCAACAAAAATGATTAGGGGATTGGAACACATGACTTATGAGGCGAGGCTGAGGGAACTGGGATTGTTTAGTCTGCGGAAGAGAAGAATGAGGGGGGATTTGATAGCTGCTTTCAGCTACCTGAAAGGGGGTTCCAAAGAGGATGGATCTAGACTGTTCTCAGTGGTAGCAGATGACAGAACAAGGAGTAATGGTCTCAAGTTGCAATGGGGGAGGTTTAGGTTGGATATTAGGAAAAGCTTTTTCACTGGGAGGGTGGTGAAACACTGGAATGCATTATCTAGGGAGGTGGAATCTCCTTCCTTAGAGGTCAGGCTTGACAAAGCTCTGGCTGGGATGATTTAGTTGGGGATTGGTCCTGCTTTGAGCAGGGAGCTGGACTAGATGACCTCCTGAGGTCCCTTCCAACTGTGATATTCTATGATTCTATGATTCTATTCAGAACTGCACTTTAAAGCATATGCTTAAGCCCCAGTGAAGTTAAGTATATGCTTAAGTACTATCTTTAATAGAGATGGATTTAAGGAAGTGCTGAATCAAGGCTGGTGAGAAGTGCTAGACTGATAATCTTGGAGACTACTGTGTTCTGTTTACTCTTAGAAGGTAGACTCTGACAATCACAGCATCTACTGTCTTGCCAATGCACCTCAATCCTGAGGTTGACAGGCGGAGGTGTGGTGATGGACTGCAGAGAGTTGTTTTGATGGGTGGTAGGCAGTGGTGAGTTTTAATTAGACTCAGCCAAGAGTATATCAACAAAGATGCCAAATCTTCACCAAAATGAATAAGGGTCACACAATCCAGCCCACTCTGAGGTACAAATATTTAGTACTCTGAATGATAAAGGCACTGGGACCTCAGCAGTTGTAGCTTGTTTTGTTCCTCAAAGCAATCATTTCCTTAACTCTATCTGATAAAATATTCCAACCTCTGGATTACAACTCTGTCTTTCCCAGGGACGTGATTAAACTCTAATGAAATCAGCCTTTAAACCACTAAATACAGTTTTAAAAAGATGTAATCTCCTTAAAGAAGTTTTTCATCCCAATTAATTTTCATCCCTGAAGTGCTAGGAGTTTAATGACTTTAACCAACGAAACTTTTAGAAGGCTCCTTGCAGTCTATGTACAGAAGTGCTGTACTGCATCTGAATTTGACTCAACAGTGTAAATGTAATATATTTGGCACGAATGCTTTAATTATCTAAAAGAGGATTTTGGTTACAATGTGAATTGCTTAGCCTTTTGTAAAGGTAATGCTGAATTCAGCAGCAAAAACAAAAGAAAAAAAAGCAAATGACTACAGTAAACCTCTTTGGCTGCTACTTTTGCATAAACTTTTCTAAAACTCACCATGTGTATTAGGATTTTGATAACAAAGGAATTTTTACAACTCTGAGAACTTAGTGACAGGTCAGAAGATTACTAAACCTCTTAAAGGAACCCTAAAAATGTGTCTAGTTGTACTGTTAAAGCCAGAAATGACTTTATGATATTGTTATATTGCAATGGAAGGTGGAGTATAATGAAAAAGTTCTCTTTCATGTGGCAGGATGATAAGGTAATTCTATTAATATTTTAACAGATTTGCCTTTATTTTATTTTTTTTTAAATGTCCAGACCCAGCATGTGATGTTTATATAATTCTGGAGTTTTCAAATCTGTAACCTCTCCTATAAATTATTCTCTTCTGTCATGTGGACTATTGACTTCTATTCAGAAACTGGATCAATAGCCAAAAGAGATGTATTGAAAACGCTTATTGAACTCATCTATTTTTCTGCCATGTACTTTTCTATTTTGGTTCTAATGCTCTCATTCAGTTTTTAGTTTAAAACTATAGGTGGAAGGAAACATTGTAAGAGTGTGATTATAATTAAATGAACTCTTTGGTTAGGATTTTGACTGAATAAAAGATAAAGGACCAGTCCCTCAGCTGGCGTAAACTGGTTTCAAGTCAATGGAGTTTTGCCAGTTTACAACAGATGAGGACCTGGTCCAGAAAATTCAATGTTATAGTTTCCCTATCATATTTCTGTATAGATCATTACTTTCTTATGTATTAATGGTCCAAAATTGCAAAAATTTAAACTCCTGAAGTCTCTGCACCTTTGTGCGCCTATATTTGTATGTGCACTAACTACAGTTGGGGACACAAATTGTGACATGCCTAAATATGCATTCACACACACAAATGTCTGTTTTGTACATGCATTCGTAGTAACTGCACACACACAAAAATCATCGTGCAAATTCTCATGTAAAATTGCACAAAGACCACAGGGTTCATCTTTATAAATCTGATGAGTAAATGTCAGTTGCCTGACCATTACTTTGAATTTTGTGCATTCAAGAATCTCATCTGTAATCTGCACAGCTAGTACTGTATATAGTTCAGTTTGGGAGGGTTCTAATAGGTACAGTAGGGATCTGGGAGCCCTGGATTATGTTTTGGACTCTGCCACTAACTGCTTCATGCATCATACATTTACTGCTGCTTCGAGGAGCAAGACTGCTCCCTCTTCAGCTTTTACGCAGTATTGCGAGCCGTGCTACCAGTGCTAGAAAGAAGGGAATGAACAGAGGCAGGGAGCCACCACATACAAATCATAGGAGAATTATCTTAATAGTTGTGGCCACGTGATAATAAATTACTTGTTTTTGTTATTGATCTGCTGAGAATCAACTGAAAATCAACAAGTTGAGTTTTAAAAACACGAGGTTCATGAAATGTTAAGGACTTACTGTGTTCGTCCCCACAGTCTGAATGTTTAGAGGTGCACATGCAGTGAAATTATTTGGAAATGATGTTTTAAATTAAAATTGGCAATTTCCCTCAGCGGGATTTCTTGTTTTGCTGAAAAGTGTCACCATTTGTAATGCAGACAGCAAAGAAGTCTAAAATAAGACTATGAACCAGTGTGCCGGAAAGCTGATTGTGTTACCATGAGGAGATGTGAACTGTTTCTTAAAACCTGTCAGGAACCCAGGCAGAATGGGATGGGAAAGGTCCTAGACAGAAACTCTACAATGAAGCTGAGAAGAGACAGAGTAGCTTTAGGAATAATATTGCTCCCTTATTCTAACAAAGTTCCTTGTTCAGTGTTAGAAGAAAATGAGTTTTTACCATTATCACATGACACTCACCATATTTTCCCTTTAGCCAGGAGAACAAAACAGATGCTTCTCTGTAGAAGCCACATAAAACAAATTCATCTCCCAGGTGAAGGATAATCTTGGTTCTCGATTAATGTGATGCCCAAAGCTTCCCTTTGAAGCTGCAGATAGGATGTCCTAAATTAATTCCTGTTGCTAGGATACTTGCTGCATAGGTCGGCACTGTCCCCACTCTTAGGCTACATTTGGAGCTAGGAGTGTGATTCCCCGCTCAAGTAGACATATTTGCACGCTGTCATCAAGCTAGTGTGCTAAAAACAGTAGTGTAGCTGTGGTAGCCTAGGCAGTGGTGAATGGCTGCGTGGGCTAGCCATCCAGAGTACAAGCCCACCCAGACCCCATAGGTACATACTCCTGGGTACCCCACAGCTACACTACTATGTGTAGCATGCTAGTTTGGTGAGAGCCAGCGTGAATGTTTGCTTGAGCTGGAAACATACCCTTAGTTCAAGTGTCGATGTAGCCTGACACCGCTGAGTCAGAGAAAATGTTTCCTTTTTTAAATTAATCCATAAATAAAATACAAATGTGATCCCCTGAGCTATAGGTGTCTAGTGTAAAAGGAGACACTGACAACTGCTTATTGTTAACAGTGAGTGGAAGACCAAGAAGATTGCCTCCTGAATGGTTGAAATTTCTCTGGAAAGCATTGAGTGACACCTTGCTGCTGCAGGAGCCATGTCGCTGCCGTTCCGAAAGGAGTTAGAAAAATATAAGAATATCAATGAAGATGAAATTCTCAGCAAACTATCGGAGGAAGAGCTGAAACAATTGGAACATGTTCTTGATGACCTTGACCCTGAGGTAGGTAACGGGACAGAAACGGGACTGATGTTTCAAAATGAAGTAAAAAAGATTGAGGATTACTTATATTCCAGGCCCATAGAGGTGATCAAGTGTTCTAAAGGATAAGGCACTAGACTAGGAACTCTGAGACCTTGGCTCTATTCCCTGCTCTGCCACTGATGTGCTGTCTGACATTGGGCAAGTCTTTGTGCCATCCCTTCTCTATTTAGACAGTAAGTTCTTCAGGACAGAGATTCTCTTACTATGTGTTTGTATAGTGCCTAGCCCGGGGTCTCAAACATGCGGCCCACAGGGTTATTTTCTGCGGCCCGCCAGTTCCCTGCAGCCCCCCCCCCCCCAGCATTTACCTAGAGCGGCTCCGGCCCCGCGTGCACTGGGGGCGGGGCAGGCTCCCTCCCTGCCCTGCCCCTGTGCTGCTCCGGGAAGTGGCCGGGACCTGGGGGAGGGGGGACATAGGGGTCTGTGTGTTGCCCTGGCCGCTCCTCCAAGTACATCCCCCGAAACTCCCATTGGCCATTCACGGCCAATGGGAGCTTCGGGGGAGGTACCTGGAGGAGCGACCAGGGCAACACACAGACCCCTCTGCGCCCCCCCCCAAGTCCTGGCCACTTCCCAGAACAGCACGGGGGCAGGGCAGGGCAGGCAGTCTGCCCTGCCCCTGGTGCACGCTGGGTCGGACCACCCCCCGAACCCCTCCTTCAGCCAAACCCCCTGCCCTGAGCCTCCTGCTGCACCCCACACCCCTCCTGCACCCCAACCCCTGCCCTGAGACCCCTGCCACATCTTGCACCCCTCCTGCACCCCCTGGGGGTAGGGAGGGGGCAGAGTTGGGGTGGGGATTTCAGGGAAGGGGTTGGAATGGGGGCAGGGGCGGGGCCTCACAGAAGGGGTGGAGTGGGGATGGGGCCGGGACAGCGGGGGGGTGGTGGTCAGTGGTGCGGCCCTCGGGCCAATGTACTAGTCCTGATGTGGCCCTCGTGGTCATTTGAGTTTGAGACCCCTGGCCTAGCCTAATGAGGCTTTATTTTGGTTGGGGATTATAGGCACAGCTATAATCAAATCATCATCATCTGTTTGTGAACATCACATTCTTCTGAACTTCTGAATTATATTGACTCTGTATTTTCCACTTACAAATTTTTTTAAGTGGGGAAAATTTGCTTTGCCAAGACTTAACTGAGCCAAATACTAGTCATCTCAACTCAATTATACATCAGCCATATCGCTAGGGCTCTACATTAAGAAAATATGGTAGTGTTGCAGACTTGCAAATGGCATTCACAGTATGCTTAGAAACCTGTGACCTGGAGAAAAGATTACCTTTCACTTAAAGAAAGATGGGGCTGAGGTCACTGATATGGCTGCTGTTGGGAAATTTGCACTGTGGGTGCTTGCATAATATCAAAGCTTTCAAATTGACCTAGGAATTTAGCTATCAGTTTGCTAGTTTTCACCAAAAGAAAATACTGGTTCCAAGATGTTGAATAAGATAGAATGGAATGGAACTTGAAAGTACTTTCAATGACACTACAAATTATTCAAGGACATTCCATACTGCTAGCAATCCAGTCAACCTGGCTCCCTGGCCAGTCAAAATGATTTTATTTCCTAAACTAGCAGACCAAATCTGGTTCACACTGGAGGGAAAATAAGGATGAAGAAAAAGGTTAATAATTTCCAATTTCTTAGCACTCTGTCTGAAGATTAGCCAGTAATGGCAGTGACCAACCATATTTTCCAGCAAGTACTTTCTGTACACTCAATTTATTTACTGAATATTACACTCTTGTAGTCATCTGTACTGGGATAAAAGGGTGCAGGGAATGGAGAAAGAGGAGTGGAAATAGAAAAGAAGAACAACAACAAAAAGAGGGGAGAATTAGAAAGAGAAAGAGACACCAAGAAGAGTAGGTAAAGTTAGAAGGGGAAGGAAGTTAACTCTTTCCTCTACCCTTCACCTGTCCTGTTTATTTTGACTATCAGCTTTTCAGGTCAGGGACTGTACTACTCTGTTTGTACAGAGTTTTCACAGTGGGTCTCAGTTGGTCTTTTAGCACTACAGTAAAAAAACTCAGTTAATAAGGGGTCAGATATATTTGTCTGAAAGTACTTGAGAATGTAATTTTAATAGTTACATCTAGTCAATACATTGCTGCACATTATTTGCCACTGAAAAATATTATGTAAAGAAATGGCTCCACTTAAAAAAAAAGTACCCTATAGCAGAGTTTAAATTCAGAACATTATAGAAACATAGCATCACTCTGTCTACAGTTTGTGAGCACCTACAGGATAATAGGTTTATAAGGAATAGCCAGCACAGAATTGCCAAGAAGAAATCATGCCAAACCAAGCTAATTTCCTTCTTTGACAGGATTACTGGGCCAGTGGATAGAGGGGATAACAATAGATGTGATATATCTTGATTTCAGTCAGGCCTTTGATGCAGTCCCACATGACCTTCTTATAAGCAAACAAGGGAAATGCAGTCTATGTGACATTACTATAAGGTGAGTGTACAAATGGCTGAAAGACTGTACTCAAAGAGTAGTTATCAATGGTTCACTGTCAAACTGGGAAGGCGTACCTCGTGGGGTCCTGCAGTGGTCAGTCCTGGGTCTGGTACTATTCAATAGTTTCATTAATGACTTGGATAATGGAGTGGAGCGTATGCTTGTAAAAAAAAAGTGCAGATGGCACCAATCTGAGAGTGATTACAAACACATTGCGGGACAGGAAAAGAATTCAGAACAACCTTGACAAATTGGAGAACTGGCCTGAAATCAACAGGATGAAATTCAATAAAGACAATTAGGAAGGAAAAATCAAAGGCACAACTACAAAATGGGGAATATCTGGCTAGATGGTACTGCTGAAAAGGATCCAGGGGTTATAGTGGATCACAAATTGAATATGTGTCAACAGGGTGATGCAGTTGTGAAAAGGGCTAATATTCTGAGGTGTATTAACAGGAGTGTTGTATGTAGGACATGGGAGGTAATTGTCCCACTCTGCTTGGCACTGGTGAGGCCTCAGCTGGAGTACTGTGTCCCATTCTGGGTGCCTCACTTCAGAAAAGATGTGGATGGGTTGGCAAAAGTCCAGAGGAGAGCAACAAAAATGAGAAAAGGTTTAGAAAACTTGACCTATGAGGAAAGGTTAAAAAAACAGGGCATGTATAGTCCTGAGAAAAAGAAGACTGAGTTACAATTATAAGAATTATAAAAGTTTTCTTATGGGGCTGTTATATGTAAAGGGCTGTTATAAAAACAACAGTAATCAATTGTTTCTATGTCCACTGAAGACAGGACAAAAAGCAATGGGCTTGATCTGCAGCAAGGGAGATTTAAGTTAGATATTAGGGAAAACGTTCTAACTATAAGGATAGTTAAGCTCTGGAACAGGTGTCCAAGGGAAGTTGTGGAGTCCCCAGCACTGGAGGTTTTTAAGAGCAGGTTGGACAAATACCTGTCAGGGATGGTCTAGGTTTAGTTCATCCTGCCCCAGCGCAGTGATCTGGACTTGATGGCTTCTTGAGACTGCTTCCGGCCCTACATTTCTGTGATTCCCTGACTCTGTGAAATGCTACATACCAAAAGCTTCCTCATCAGGGACCAGATTCTCAGCTAGTTTAAATCAGCATCACTCAAATGATGTCAGTGGAGCTATGACAATTTATGCAATCTGAAAATCCGGCAGCAGGTGTCTGTGCTTTAATAGTGTCATGCTGTCATGAGACTTGAGGACTTCTCGAGGTCCCTCCCAGACCAACATTTGTATGATTCTGTATCTGTATCTCATATATTTTGGTAGAATGCACTTCTGCCAGCGGGCTTCCGACAAAAAGACCAGACCCGTAAAGCTGCCACGGGCCCTTTCGACAGAGATCGACTCCTTTCATACTTGGAGAAGCAAGCACTGGAACACAAAGACAGGGAAGACTTTGTGCCCTTTACAGGGGAGAAGAAAGGTAATGGTTCACCCTCACCAGTGCCTGCAATAACGTGGTATTTGAACATATTAATTACAAGCTGTGGGGCCTCTCAGGGAAATTAACCAGGGGGAGGTGGACGGAGGCCAAATCATAGGCTTTTAATTTAGACCCAAAAATACTTTTTAAAGCTAACCTAATAAAACACTAGTTTTATCTATGGTCTAGTGTCCTGCCCACAAGACTAGGAGTCAACAGCTCTGGAGTTCTAATCCCAGTTCTTATAGCAACTCCCTCTGTGAGCTTGGGGAATATATTTAGGTGCCAATCCGGCCAGGTGCTGGGCACTGTGCCCCCAATTCAGCAAACCACTTAAGCACTCCCATTGACTTCACTGGGTCTAGTCATGTGCTCACAGTTAAGCATGTGCTTGATTACTATTATGGATCAGACCCTTATATAGATACTGTCAACTCAAATATCACACTCCTTTCTGAATAATTGTTACCTGCTATTGCTATAAGTATCACTTAAGATCACTGTAAAGGAAAGAGATTAGAGCAAACAATTATTTTTCCAGTTGCTTTCTTTTTACATTTGACAGCACTATTCACACATTCAGTTTCATCATTCTTTCTGTTTTTATAGGGGTTTGTCATATAGCCACAAAGGAGAGAAAAACATTTTAAAACACAGGAAAGCGTGATTGTAAAACCCCAAACATTGGCAAGATGACTTAGGCAGGAGTGGCATTTGGAACTACTTTTAAATTCACTCCTTAAACAGCTGACTAGATTTCAAATATACTGCGTCCCTTTAGCATCACTGCCTCATTTTCCTCATCTGTACATTGAAAATAATATTAACACTTGCCTAAGGCCTCCTATCAGCAAGGTACGTAAGCATGTGCCTAACTCTGAGCATGTGAGTAGTTCCATTTATTTCAATGCGGCATGCTTAAAGTTAGCCATATGCTTAAATACCCAGCCAACTGAATGACTAAATGATTAACAACCTACTCTGACCCCCGGGGAAGTAAATGGCAAAATTATTGACTTTAATAGGACCAAGACTGGTCCCTAATTACTATTTACAAAAGTGCTTGGAAGATATAAAGTGCTATTTGTATGCTAAGTGTTGTTACTATTACTATATTTCGTTTTCCTCCTTTTTTAAAAACAGACATCATAAAAAAATCTTTTCAAAGAGCGATGACACCTAGATCTCTCTAACTGAAGCATTGTTTTAGATTATTGCACATTGTCTTCCCTATTTTCTTCTCCAGCACCTTATCCAGTTTTTATTTTTAATGACGTAAGGCCTGATCCTAAGTTCATTGAAGTCAATGGTAAGTATCCCATTGATTTCAATAGGTCAGAATTGGGCACATATTGTTTAGAAAGGAAAAACCAATCTATCTGAGAAGGGATTTATTATCAACCCCTCCTCTTGTGTGACCTCTTATGCAGAATCTGTTAATATCATGTTAAACAGTTACAGATTTCCTTTCTACTATTGACTAATGAGTCTTCTTATCAGGCCTGTGCATGGATTTAAAAAAACAAAATCATATTTTTAATTTAAATATATTTTTCTTTTCAAAAATAACCCTATTTAAAATATAATTTCAAATTATGGCAACCTAAATTAAGCTATATGTTGCCGGCACCCAGTGCCCAGAGGCAAACAGCAGCAGGGGTTCATTGCCCGGTATGCGTCACCCAATAAACACAATGGGATGGAGAAGCAGAAAAGTTTATTTGGAATTCCAAAGAAAGGTACAGGGAGAGAAATCTCAAATCCTGCACATCAGAGCAGGTCATTACACACACTTTTATATTCCTTAATGCTACTGCACTACACATCAGCCAATCAAAGCTTTGCACAAATACTCTGCCTTCCTTATATGGGTTACAACAGTGTTTGTTTCCTGCAACCTCTAACAAGCATTCCTAGCAACTTAAACAACCAGCATATCCTGTCTGGCCTTGTCGCTGTCTCTCCTGTTATCTTTAACTTGGTGTCAGCAAACCTTACACTATAAGGCATTATCTACAACTGCAACATTGTTTTAAGAGCAAAAGAGCTTACTCAAACCAGCCAGGCCTGAGTTCTATTAAGGGGGGTTGAAAAGAAGCCCTTAGGCCTACAGCAGGGAGACTTCCTCGACCCTTATGGCCTTCCATCCCCTCAACTTAACTAGTGGCCATACCCTAGAGTCTCCAACATATACATTTACCATAATCTATTAAAATTATTTAAATTAAATAAAAATAATATTAAGCAGTAAATGCTAGCTGCTAAAATTTTAAAGCAAGTCAAATTGTTGAACCGGAGGAAGTCACTGGCTAAGCACTTGGAACCAGAGTTTGCTGAAGTGCTAAACCAGAACTTTTGACACCAATAACCTCTTCCGTAGAGGTGAAGAAAGAATATTTATTTCATTTCAGGTTATTCAGCAAGTTCAGGGCAATAACTAGCTCAAAGTTGAGAAACAGATTGGGTGCTGAAAAAGCAGGAAAGCTTATTTTCGTCATCCAATCTATAAATAAAAACTAGGTCTGAAAGGACAAGATCTACTAGTTCTAAAATCTTGAAGGATATGTTGACTAGAAACAATCAGTTCAATTCACTAACTACAGATGATACTTCCTTTATTTAATAAAGTAGTTAGTTTTAAATACAAAATGTATTTTGATAAACTTTCTTCTTATGTATCCAGCACATTTAAGGTAGTATTATTTAACTAATAAAATAATTTTAAAATGCTGTTTTTGTGGATTTTTAACTGAATTTCAATTTACATCCATCTAAAGTTTGACACAGATCACAAGTAAAAAAATAATCTATTAAACAACATACAATAACATTTTCTAACATAAAAGGTGTAAAAAATTAAGAATCTGAATAAATGTGGTAAGCGCTATAGTTACTTAAATAAATGTATGTAGATGCTGCATATCCTTCTGGTTAGCAAAAAGAAGTACTAAATTCAGTCTACAGGCTACATTTAGTTACAAATCAATGTGTTTTAATCAATGAGAATCAACCTTTCTTTAGGAAAGTAACTAAAAGGTACAAATGCAAAACATGACTAAAATTGATACTTTAAATCAAGGTTTCCTGCTTGCTGATTTGAATCATGATTCAAGTTGATGATTTAAATCACTCTGCTTTAAATCAGTCCACCCTGGGCATGTGTATATTCACATTGGCTCTGTCACAGGCATGTCTGATTTTTAATGATTAGTGTTGATTTAGAGGTAAGATTTGTTTCTTTTTTTGTTCTGTCTACATTAGAGAATTTGAGAATTTCCGCTGTTTGGATCCCCTAGCAGACCTGACACACACTACACACAAAATTGCTACCAATGAGGCGCAGGATTTCACACCACCCTCAAGATTGCACTTGCTCTGTGTAAGGGTAATCATTGCGTTGTCCACCATGGTGTCACTCTGCACTGTGATATTGGGTAGTTTTTCATCTTTAGGTTTTCTTTGGATACTCTTAAAAACACACGATTCTTCAACGTGTCCTGGTTGTATTAACCCTGATTATTAATTTATAGCTTCTGTGATTTAGTAACATCACTGTTCCACAAACCACAAATAACTGTACTTCTCACCTGTCCCTCGGCATAGAACCAGCTCAGCCTCCCTTGCACACAAAGCTGCTCTTATCTTAGTTATTTAGTGATAACTAAATACATCACAAATGCTAATTCAGGGGGTTATTAGAATTGTGAAGTTATACCAGTGTTTTTATGCCAAGGCAATTATTCCCTTGATTTCTCATGTCCCTCATTTGGGCTCTTTGTCCCAGATTGAGTCCCTAGTGTGAGCGTTAGGAGTTTAAAACATATGAAAAGAAACCTTATGACCACTGCTTTATGTAACTATTTGGCAATTATCTAAACAGGGAACTCTGCTCTACTCTCATTGAAGTTGGTGGCCAAATCTCTTCAAAATATCTGTGCCTTCTTTTATTAAGACTGACTATATTCCTATATTATTTTAAGACGTATCTATTTAACTACTGTAGATCAGTAAAGACAATTATGTCCTGTTCAGCACCATAGCGTCTGAGAACTTGATGGTTTGTCCACCAATTTGTGTGCTGGTTTAAGAGTGCATGACTTCAGGAAAGAATCTGACTTCTTTAAGCCTGGCATTCCCTCATGCTGGGACTGCTGGAGCCTGTGCGCATTGTCATCTGACTAAAGTGCATGTCTTAATAGGAGCATTCTACAGAGATTGTTTTCTCACAAACACACACACACACACACAAAATCCTGGCTACACTGAAGTCAGTGGCTTAACTCTCATTGAATTCAGTGAGGCCAGTATTTCATCCTGTGTTCACTGCTTTATTTTGTTGTCTTCCTTCCCTCTGTGCTACATAGGTGTGGCACTCTGTAATTTGAATACAATAAAATGTTATTGAGACACCCATCTACCATGTAAACAAGCACTGTGGGCTTTTTACAAGCTGTAAAATGAGCCTTTTCTAATGTGATGCTGATTAAATCTGATGAATGTTGCGTAAGGACCAGGAGCAAGTCGAGCCGGCTGTAGATCTTAGCACTAGTGTTCCTAGTCTCAGACTTATTTGACTTGGCAAAACTCATTGAATAAGAAACTATGACATGAATGTTTTAAAAGAGTAATGGCTTGATTCTCAATTACATTAGGGGCTTCTCTACATTGGGAAATTGACTGGAATAGCTATTGCTGTAAACTATTCTGCAACGGCTGTTCCAGGATAGCTTCCCAGGGGGACACTCTTATTCTAGAATAAAAGTCACAAGCCCTAAGGCCCCTTTAAACTCTACTGCCAGCATAAAGGGGCCGGAAAGTGGGTGTGCATATAATTTAGACCCACTTTCCAGCCCCTTTACACTGCTGGAGCAGTATAAAGAGGCATTAGTGAAAATGAGACTCAGGCCCTACAGTTTCATCTTAATGTTAAGGTTACCCTGTGAATTAAAAATTAAGATCTTGGGCCTCTGATTCTGGAAAATTAGAAACGGAAGACACAG